ATAAGCGGACACGGACCAGAAGACTGATCGAGGCACGAAAGTCCATGACAGAAGCAAGCCACATAGAGCTCATAGACTCGAAGGCAAGTAGAGAATAGGATTCTGTGTACTTCAGCCTCTGGGGGGGGCTCACACTGGAATTTTCAAGTGCACTGTGAAGTGCATTTGAAGTGCACTTGTGACCAGCTTGTGTGTACGGGTCCTTTTTCACTTGACTGATCTTGACTAGTTGTACTTAGTTGCCACAGAAACTTCAAAACCCTCAAGGTGCCGAAGTGCGCTCTCAAAGCAAGGTCAAAACCTTCCTTGACACTGTACTTATCCATTCAAAGCGTTGGATGTTTATGTTATCTCGAGCCACAATTCCACTCTCGCGAGCGAGCAAGCGAGAATCGATTTTGAATGAGGACTGCTGATCTGCACGAAATGTAGATGGGTTATTCTCAGTTCTGATTCATGAGCTAGTTCAGAAATTTCCCAATTTCCTTTTTTACTGTATCTTTTACTGTATTTCCTTCTAAATTCTTCGTTTACCGAGAACTGAACTTCAGTTTTTGGAAAGACGATTTGAGATCTAGAATTTTCGGAACATTTGTTGTAAAATTTCTTGCTTGCCTGCTTCTTCTGGGATTTTTGAACATCTAAAAATGGTACAATTGCCCACTTTTAACGCATTTTTACCCTAAAACGGCGCTCGATCTCATTCTTCATGGTGGATTCGGATTCTTCATGTGAATGTGTGGCTGGCCTCTCAGAGCCCCTACCCCATTATAGGCTATTCTGTGGCCAGTTATAGACCCCATCTTGGAGTAACTGTCACAGGGGTCGTCTATTAGACAGGAGGCGTTTATTAGAAGGGGCGTCTAATAGCTGTAAACTGAGGTCTCAGAACTGAAGATAAAATCATTCAACTCTTGTAAGGTGTAAATCCCATAAGCATCAAAGGATTGTAAATTTAAAAAAGATCGTGTGACTTTTGATTCATTTACATTTAAAAAACATTAATGAAAAGAAAGCAAAAACACTATAAATTATGGCAAGTCTGCTGCTTATCTTAAATGGTGCGCTTGTAATGAATATCATTAACTGTCCCGTGTTTACTTCGACGAGTTGGATTGGATTTTCTCGTTGATTTAAACGGATGTTTTTCTTTCGTTAAACGTTCCGTTTAACCGCCAGACCCTAGAGACTGTGAACACTGTGAAATTGTTAGGACTTGATATTAGCAGTGATTTAAACTGGAATGTCCTTGTGTCAGAACTAGTTAGAAAGATCTCAACAAGATTATAAAAGACAGCTTAATAAGAAATCGCATGTTGCTATAAGAGAGCTTCTTCTATTTTACATCACATCCATTCGCTCTATTCTGAAGGACAGCTGCCCAGTTTTTCATCGCGCTCTGCCAAGTTATCTAAGCGAAGACCTAGAAAGACTGCAAAAACGCGCTATGAAGATTATTTACCCTGAGCTATCATAATTATTATAAGGCTCTAGAGCTGTCCGGAATTTTGACTGTGCATGATAGAAGAGGGGTAATTGCGCAAAGTCGTTAATTCGATGAAATGTGCGCTAATCAAATTCACAGTCTCCACAAACTACTTCCAAGTAAATATCAGCCAAGATACAGGGACACCCAACGACGGTTTTCTCCAAAATACATTGACAACACAAAGTTTAGGCTATTCTGAGTACTTTTAGATCTTTTGAAATATATTCTAATTGATGCTATAAAATTTGTATCTGTTCGGTCATCCTCATTCTCGTCCCCAGAGCCACTCGGCTTAATTTGTAACCGACCAGTATAACCCCTCGTTTCCCGACCACGTGACCAAGAAACGACGGGCTCTGGGGACGAGAATGGGTCATCCTTGGGAAACTTAAGTCTTTTCGAAATTACCATGGCTTCAGTATTATTTCCCGAAATTTTGAGATGCAATTTAAAGTTTTCCATCGCATTTTCGAATCCGAAAATTTTACGTTTCCTTTTTCTGAGAAAAATAGCTTAATATGGGGAGTGAAATGCGAAAAATTAAACTTTAAAAATCGTAGGTAATTAATCAAATAAGCTTCGAAAATTGTACATGAATGGAACGGTCATTTAGAAGTTCTTAGCCTTCCTCAAAGTATAGAAAATTCTAGGCAATTTTTGCTTCTCCGATAGATATTTTACAGAAAACTGTCGTTGGGTGCACGTGAATCTATTCTCTGAGAGAACACATAACATTTATTCGTCCAAACTGTAAAACTGAAAGATGCAAGAATAGTTTTCTTTTAACCCTTTAAGCCCCAATATCCACATACAAATTCTTTAAACTGATCTCTATACATTTCTTTCATGAATGAATTGAGATAATTTGATAAAGATCAAAGCATATTCCCTTATGCGATCATTTTGTTAATTCTCATAACCTTATCTGTTGACATGGATATTGTTAGGAGAAAATTGATGTTATTCACTATTGGGAAGTTATGTTTACAGTAATTGAGACCTAGATATAATTTTGTTTCTTATTGTATATAGAAACTTGACGCATGCATTTGAATTTGTGATTTTGCATACAACAGTTTTAAATTTGAATTGTAAATAATGCCGGATCATCTTTCTTTTACATATCAGTCGTAAATTATTACAGTTGTAAATTATTGCATTTCTAAACCTTATCGCAATTTAGCTCTGATCTTTGGCTGCAAGTTTTTTAAGGTGAATAAACTATCTATCTAATCTAATCTATCATCTATCTTTCTCGTTCCTGACTAACATCTTTATAGAGTATGAAGATTTGCCGGGAAAAAATGAGCTAAGGGTATAAAGTATGGCCGGGTAGCAAACCAAGACAAATCCGGACAAGTTTGATTACCCTGATTACGTTGGCGCGACTGGATATTTCTTTGTTTTTTTTAGGACCCTCGGGCAATCCCACTTTGTGTTTACGTGTTTACAACAATGGTTGAATTACAAGTGCATTTTAGCAGAACAAACTGGTTGTTACTGGATATTAACCCACTATGTTTCAAGGGAAACTAGGACGAATATTGTCGGCAGTTTGGGTTTTACGTTTAAATTTGTTCCTGTTGTCACAAAAAGTTTTGCCTCTTTCTGTCCATCACGTTTATTTCCTTCTTTTAAAATGTTATCCTCTTCTTCGTGTTAGTTTCCTTTATTTGAATGAATGAATGAATGAATGAATGCCTGCATTTCACAACGACCAATACGATAGGTTTGATAAGATACATGAAAACCGCATGGATATAATTACAAGTTCAATTCATGTTCTCAATAAACGAGCAAAACTATTTTAAGAAATATCTACCCATTCAGGAGCCCATGACCATATTAAAAATTAGAAAGCAGCACATGCACATGTATTTTTTGTACTACTCTAAATCATGTTCTCATATTTAACGGCGATCATTAACATGTTGCTATTGACACTTAAAGGTGTTACTGAACAAGGCAATCGTTGTCTTTTCGTCAATTGTCTTTAGTTGGTGAATCTTGCATGAAGTTTGAACATTCGTTCAATGGACAACCTATGTCCCAATGCGAAGAAATCGTGAAGTTTTTTATCTTCCAAACCAATTCCCACCCATGGCCCGGCAATGAGGACATGTTTTCCGTTAAGCTGTAAAGGCGCGATTCCAACTCTTTTTGCACGACCTCTCAGTATGAAATATATTTAATAAGCGGCCAAAATTCACATTTGCTCAGTCAAAACGTTTTCCTCCAAAGCATATTCTACTCGACAGAGAAAACAATTCATTGGAATAAGCAGCATTTTTGCGTGAGGTAAAAGTCGTGTGTTTCCTACCGATCCCTCTTTTTTAGCCAGGCGAGATAACAATGACGGTCGGCCGTTGCATGGAACTTGAAGAACTCTTTGCATGAACAAACATATGATAAATGAGGCTTTTGTCAAATCCTGTCGGTAGAACACAGAAAACATCCTTTCCCCTGAGCAGCAACTCCAAAGCTTTCCTCTGCTCCGATTTTAAAACAAATCCCAGCGTATGCAAAACGGACAGTCCGTATTTTTAGTGTCTCTCCCCAGTCTCGCTCTCTGTTTTCAGCCTCATTCCAGACCTTTTGTTTGACTACTCGCGCGTACTTGAATACGCAAAAATACGGACTGTTTTGCAGTCTACGTAGTCGCAGGCATAAGTGAGCATGCTCATAGGCTAGCTATTTCAAGTCAATTTATATTTAACTCACACAGAATATTAGTACTAAATACTTTTCAACATGAAAAAAAAAAAAAAAAAAAAAAAAAATAAGAAAGGATATGAAATTTATTTCCATTTTAGGTTGATAATTGTCCAGACTGAGTCAGTGGGACGCCTAAATAGTTCGTAGAACTAACCCAGTAGTACAAGATCTAGAATACGAGCAGAAGGAATTTTAAAAATATAATGACGAAATAGTTGGTTTAGATAAAAAGTATTACTTCATTAATTAAATAGTAGTAGTGAAAGGTAATACAATCATAAAACGTCAGGAATTAATAACACTATTATTATCCTCAATAACAGAATTCTTGACATTTTGACGAAATCTAAAAAATCAAAAAATCGTTCCCAATCTCTTTTTGAGCGTAGACGTCGGTGTACTTAGCTTCTGGCGGTAAGCATAGTTGACTGGTCGAAGAATGGCGGAGAACATTAAATAGTTCTAGCTGCACAAATTGAAAAGCTGCCAGTCTCTCTCAAAACAAACTCGACCGCATTTTTGCCCATTTTCATGCATGACCTTTTTTCCATGAAAGGGTTTGCGAAGTGTTTCAGTTATTGTAATTGATTTGAGATGTAAATAGCTGTCAGTGAAGTGGTTTTCTGGTGGTCAGATAACACGTCAACTCCTACTTCCTTTCCAAGAAAAGCAGATTAACCTAAGAATTGACTTCCAATCCTGATAAATAACTGAGCTCCAACCCAAAACTGGGAAACCGAGTTTTCTGTGCTAACAGCACGCTTCGTTAAAAAAAAAAAAAAAAAAAAAAAAAAACATGGCGCAAGCTTCCACCATTGATCAAAACGAACAACAACATGAAGACAGCGACTCAAGGTATACCGACATTTTTAACGCAGTAAGGAACGGGACTGAAGAGCAAGTGAGAAATTTTTTGTCACAACTAAGAAGTATAAACACCACCGTTAGAGAAATAAACGAAAATGGAGAGGAAGATGTGGGTGAGAGACCATCTTACAGACAGAAGCTTCTTAAAGCTCTCGGAGAAAAAAACACTGGTGAGGTATGGAGCCTTATTGCAAAAGGTGAAGAAGAAGAAGAAGAAGAGATAAAGACTCTAGAAACGCTTAACAGTATCTGCGAAACTGTTGCGGAACACCAGCGTCTGAGGGAAGCTGGTCTTTTCAGCTGCATGCTGGGCAAACTTCAGAGCCAAATAAGATGCAACGGTCCATGTGGATGTGGCCGAAGCGGACGTGAACGGGAAGGAGAGAATTACCAAACACAACTGGAACGCGAAGAGGAACAACAGTGGATAGACATACTTTCCGATCCACTGTATATCGGCTTGAATTGGTTATGGACGACCAACCCAAACGGTGGATCACCGACCTCTCCTAATCAACATGGAACAAAGAGGGAAGACGTCATTGAAGGTGCACTGCACGATGCTAATCTCTTGGAGAAAATTGCTCTGTACGAGCATCATTACAGCCGAGACGAGTACACGAGGCGAGCAGAAGCATATGAAAAATTTGCCATTGATGTTGTTGAAGGAAGTACTTGGGACCAACTCCTTCACATAATGGATGACAAGGGAACTGGATGTCTTATAACGAAAAGGCCAGGTGATTTTAACCAGAGTCTGAGTCTACTCAAGACTGCTGCTGATAAAGAAAGAAAGCTGGTATGTATGGCTTTATTACTTATATGCCCTTCCAAAATTCAACGTTCGTTTGCGTTTCTTAGTTTTCATTTGACTTTTGTTGTCGCAGATTCCCAGGACAGTTTCAGTAGACAACTTTGGAGTTTAGAAATGTAATTTCTGGTTTTCAGATGACGACGTCATCAAAATTCAAAACTAAAGAATTATAGGTCCTCTTTCATGAAGCAATTAGAGCAGTTGAAAACTAATATTTATACAAATTTGCGCTTTGAAAGGACTCTTTTTTTTGTTATAGAGTGCGTTTGCATAATTCCTAAGCATGACGCGGGGTGTATGTAATCTACCTTACAGACATGAAAAAAATAAAATAATAAAAAAAAAAATAACAATAAAGTCACTTTGCATACATAACAAAAACGGCTAACTTTTTTGTTATGTCTATAGGCTGAGATTATTGCATATTTAGCCGTTGTCTAAACACCGACGCGGTACTGTTTACATGACGGCCGAAGGAGCTGTCACGTAGATTAAAAAAGTGACTTGTTTCAGTTCTTGTATTAGAAAACTATTACTTTAATGTTTGTGAGTTCCTCGAGAAATGGATAGACCTATTCGGCTATTAAACTCAATGTTGTACCCAATTCAAATCGCTCGTGATCAAAGTTCTTTGTGTCTTGTATTTGGATTATAATGTGGCATTCTCATTTAAATGATGTGAAAATTCCTGAAACAAAACGTTTTATTCCCAAAGGTTTTGAATTGGGTACAACACTGAGTTAGCCGAATAGGTCTATTCACGCTTTCGTAACAAATCTCAGTAACAGATGTTTCTGTTGGTTTGCCGTTTCTGCATTGGTGCCCATGCGGTTCGGCACACGACGTCTCCATACAAGTCTCCATAAATTTGGGTAAGACATTTCGCAGGATATCTCGCATATTAAAAACTGCTCTGACCTTAATGTTTGCGAGGGTCTTTGCATGCATATTTACCTTCTTTCATTTCTCATATTCTGGACTTAATCTCAATAGGCCATTTTACAGTTATGGATGGAAGCGAGGCTGAGGGTGACCTTGTTTTGATACAAACCTTCTTTGCTTTGTTATGGAAATTGTTCTTGAAAAATACTGGTTAGCATGGGAATAACTTGATTTACATAATAAAGCAGGAAGGTTTGTATCAAAACAAGGTGACCCTCAGCCTGGCTTGCATACACAACTGTAAAATGGTCTATTGAACGATTTTTATTTTGATCTTGCCTAGTCCCTGGACCGCGTTTTCCCAGGCCTTCTCGGTCAATCTTCTTCGCTCGGACCACGTGACCCGAAAGGAACTAAGGCAAATTTTAATCTATTTTGAATGGCGCGTCACTGAAAACCAGCAGTACCCACCAAAATTCAACGCTCGTTTGCTCTTCTTAGTTTTCATGTTTATTGTCGCAGAACAGGAGGGCATTTTGCATGCGCATGCGTGCATCCGCTGAACGACAATAGCGTGGGCGCATCAAATCTGATGGCGGGAAATCGAAACTCGCGTAAAGGTACGGTCCTTTTAAAAGCCATTTCGTTCGTGCATTGAATATTGTACTTTCCTACAAAAAATATTCTCCATGACAAAAATCGGACGTTTTCTACGCGGGTTTTTCACTTGTAGATTTTTCAGCAGTAGGTCTTCTTGGCCGTTTAAAGTCTTTCAAGACTCAACGCCAAAAAGTCATGTTCCTGTACAAGTCGTATTTTCATTGGCAAAGCAATACATTTCTATGGTTTGATTTCCAAACTCGTGGTTTTACTTATCAAGGGGGAAATGCATCGTAGCAATGTTCAGCTGTTTTACATGTAGGACTAAAAGCGAAAAAAAAAAAAATTACCACGCGAGGTTTATTTATTAGCGCGATGTCTCACGTTAAACTGATCACGGAGACACGCGTTTATATATGCCACAAAAACATGAAATCTATGGGATTTTTTTACAGTTTTTCGAAAGTTTTGCGGAAAACTTTATGAAAAATATTCTACAAGAAATGAACTTAGAATGGATTTAGTTTGAGACAGCAACAATTACAAGTGATTATGTACTACATAAGCACTTGAGCATTTCATAAGCTCAGTTGCAGGCAAAACGAATGCACATACCCCGCAAAAACGAACAATACTTTTATTTTTCTTTAACTCTAAAAGATACAGAGATTGTTCCCAAGCTACTATTTTGAAGCGACTCTTGAGTAACAGCTCCTGTGTTCCACAATCGATTTCTTGTTATTTATCTATATTTGATGACAGGAGTGATCCATTCAAAACAGAGAATGACCATCACTCCATAAATCAAACTGACGATGTTGTTCACTTTCAAAGCCTGTTTAAACATAAGACAAGACGTTTGTTAAAGGGGTGCATATAATGCTGTTTCCTCAAAAAATAAATGCTACTGCTAGAGGACCCAAATGAGCTGGGATGCGACAACAAACATTACACAAATGGATGGAGTGAATTTGTCTGTTATTAATGTTTCTGTTGGCAGTTTTTTACTGTATCCAGATGAACCCCTTATGTAAGTTGTACATCATGGAAGAATTATATAGCATAAACTGATGCATTAAACAAGAATGTGGTTCAATACAGAGGAGAAGCTGTTCTCATTCAACTTCATTTGTGAATAAAATGTCTCACAAATTAGCATATCAACAAATGTAGTATCCACAAATGGTATCATTTACGAATAAGTGCAATTTTTTTGCAACAGAAGCCAGGATTTATTTAAAAGGTGTATTGATAACGTTTCATTTCGTACTATTTTGGGGTTGGGGAGTTGGGCTAGATTTTCTTTACAACGCCAAAGTGTTATATCTATTTGCATAATAAAATGTATACAAACAGTGTACCATCAAAATAAGGTGGAAAAAGTCAGAATTCAAACCGATTGCTGTAATTTTTTTCCTTTGTATAACTAAATGATAGAATATTCTTATTTTCAAAACACAATCTTACTGGCATCATTATATTGATTTAAATTTGTAGTTGAAGTGCGTGTATTTTATTTCTCAACGAAGACGTACCGGTGAAAAAAGCTAAAATTACTACAGAAAGCGATTTTTCACAGCCTTCATCAAAGCGCCATTTATTCGGGGAAGTATTCTTAGTTTCATCAGTCATTAACTTAATTTGGGGAGAAAGGCAAGATTTCGAAATAAACAAGCCAGCGAAAGGGTGAAAAACAGTTTCACGGCAGAATGGACACTTAATTAACCACTGTATTCCTGAAACGATAAAGTTCGATTTTAAATTTACACTATTGAGAAGAATTAAGTGTCTGTAGGATAATTGTTTAACGAAAAATTAGCATACTGACCTTTTCCTCCTGCTCAAAAAATGTGCACGAAATGTTAGGTCGTAAGAACATTCAGCCGCCAGCTTGTCTTCGATGCACTGTTTTACGAAAGGAAAGACTGTCCTCTCAAGGGCGACAGCGAGGCTACAATAAACTCACTTTCATCCTAGAAATACCACGATACCATGTTTGTGGAACGTAGCACCCAATACACGTCATTCAGCTCCAGAAAACAGCCTGCAAATGCTGGTACTGAACGCAATCAATTCACATAAAATGCCTCTGTGGCACTTCAACAGCCCATATTGACGCATGCGCATACAAAATGCCCTTCTGTTTTGTCGCAGATTCCTCGGACAGTTTAACAAGCTAGACAAGTTTGGAGTTTACAAATGCGATAGCCTGCGTATAGCTGTTGTTTTTTTGATGTGTTTTTCGTTTAAGATTCGCATTTATACGGCCGCGCGCGAGGTCCGAGATAAAGCGACGGGGGAGGATAGCGAGGGAGCTGAGGGAGAGAGAGAGAAAGTTTGGCTTACCCGTAATAATTTACTTGTGGTCCTAAGTCCTTATGAGTAGTTTTGGAAGCGATTTCAATCAGATCAATGACAGACAAGTATTATGACTTACCAGGGTGATTAAAATAATTAAGCAAAACCTCGCCGAATTCCACTGTTTGAAAAGCAAGCCTTCGTCCTGAATATCCGCGTACATTAGAGCGGGTGTCCGGCCAATTAAACGATGAACTAGCGTTGAATGGATAGCGGACGTCGCGTTGTAAAAAGAGCCTACAATTGCAAGAGAACTTTCCCCGCTATTACAAGAGCGTCAGCTACATGATGTATATCAGTGAACTAGGAGACCTAGGCGATAAAAAGATCAATCCCTCACACTATTATTGCTAACTCTTACATAGTAATTGTCTGATTGAGTTTGCAAACATCGAGAAGACTACACTTGAGTGATCGACTGCACTGAGTAAAACCTCATTACGCTGCCATGACAACTCGATTTCAACAAATTCTTTGACAAATTTTTATTTCTATCATTGTGCCACTTTGGAAGCCTTTCATAATGATGAATTTAAGGAATAATGAGGCAATAGCAACAACTAGACAAAACAGTTTCAGGGAATTAACATAAACAGTTCTAGCAATTATGAAACAAACAGTGTTAATTAAATCGTTGAACATTATTTAAATAGCATTTTTTACCATTCTATATTTTGTTTTCTTTATTCAGACCACGTGATTTTCTCCAGGAAATTTGCCTTTTGTCTTCTTCTTTTGTCATGAAATATGCATAAATAAGCACGTGGATGCCCGTCCCTGGGACGACATTTGAAAAAAACAGTTCCTTCGGTAGTCTGAAATGTCATACGTCTCTCCCCCCCCTAACCCATGAACGGATCTTTTCCCCCCCGCATCCCCCACGGGTTAGGGGTTGGAGATGTATGACATTTCAGATTATTCTCTGGGGTACCATCACGTGCTCTGAATTGAGAAACAAAACATTCAAGCTAAATATGTCTATTGCCTTTCTATTCTCAGTTTGTGGCGAGTCCCAAATGTCAGCGAATCTTTGATGAGATCATTTACTATCAATGGCCACATTGGCAGGATGTGGGGAGAGTAACCAAATTTGCATGGTCCATTGTTCAATTCCTCGTGGTCGCTATCACATGTTTTGCTTACATTCCACTTCGACTTCTGCGAAAGTCTCCTTGTTTTGACGAAGATGACGGGTGCTGGTGGAACTTCAGGGAGATCTACGAGCATCCCTTCTCCAAGTTTATCAACCACAGTACTTGGTACATGGTTTTCCTGGTTTTTGTAATTCTGAACTCGATGCAACAATCCTTTGCAACAAGTTTGATGGGTCTTGAGTGGATCGGTATGTCACTTTATTTTTGTTTTTTGATAGGTGATGCTTAAGGTGTAAGGAATATTTATTTTTTTTATTTCGTTATGCCACGAAGGCTACCTATCTTAACCTCCATATCGGTAAACTATTAATTGCCTGGTTTAGTCCTCCTACTAGTCCGTGTTCACCCCTGTCTTATATGCAAATCAAGTCCCGTTTTGCCTCCAGTGTTAACCTCATTTTGCATCTAATTATCCTACATTAGGGCCGTTTATACGAGAGAAAATAAGCCGCGGCTTACATAAAATGCGAAAGGAACCATTTATACGAGTACGGCTTATATTAGGCCCCGTCCACACGTATCCGGAGATTTTTGTATCCGCAAATTTTTTTATGCGGATACACCTAGCGTCCACACGTGTCCGCCGTATACGCTCGGTGTATCCGGAGATTTCTGTATACGCTCTCCACATTGGAAATTTCTGTATACGCTGTGTATCCGGATACGTGTGGACGCTCGTATCCGTATATTTTTGTATACGCTCAGCTCAGGCTCAGCTTTGTTTATAATGCGCATGCTCTGTTGACTAATCCTTTGAGATGTCCGGATACGAATCGGATACCTGTGGACGGTCGTATACGATTCGTATGCGCTACGTGTGGACGCAGATATTTTTATATCCGCATAAAAAAATTTGCGGATAAAAAAATCTTCGGATACGTGTGGATGGGGCCTTAGACGCGAACGGCTCGTGAAAATGGTTCACGGCTTAGTTCGCGGCCAGGTTGTACTTTTAATAACCGTAGATTTAAAATCAAAATCGGAGAACTTACGCTTGCCGAGGTAACGCAGACAGCGAGCTGCCCCGCAATCTCAAGCTCGCTGCATATTAGCAGGATTTGTTTTTCTTCCGGGGCACTCCACACATTTCTTTTTTTACATGAATCTCTGTCCGCCATTTTCCACTTTTATTTGTAAATGTAAACAAAACTCATTTTCCCACCACTGCAACGCGCGTCTCTCGGCCGTGAAGGTCTGGGATATAATTGAAAACAGAGCGTGCGCAGCAGTCGTTCAAGGCTTCAGCAAGCCGGGGCTTGGATAAGCCCATACCAAAACCCCTCGGCCAGTATAAGCCGCGGCTTACGGGCTGTTCGCAGCTTATTTTCTCTCATATAAACGGCCCTTTGAGACCCGACACTACACACGCCATCAAAAATAATAAACGAAACCATTCAAGAGATTAAGACCAGAATCTGGCGAGGGAAAAAATTTATGTGCGAACAGGATTCAGTTCTTTTTTTTACTTTGATTTGTCTGTGAAATACTCCGAGAAATGTTTTACCCAATATCCCAATTCAAATGAACTTTCTATGGAGACGCCATGTTGACACCAGCCGGAAAACAGCGGAAAAATCTTTCTCGCTACTCGAGAAACTCATAAAGACTAAAGTGATTCTTATTCTAACACAATCTAGGACAGTTCGGAGAGTAGACTGATCCCAGAAAGTATATAAGTCACTTTTCTCTCTGCCTCCATTTAGATGCTGCGTCACGCAAAGTGTGCTCTATCTCAAAACAGAAAACCTTTTCGAACTACGAATTTGTTGAAATTGAAGTGTCTGGGGGCTCTAAGTCCTCATGAACTGAAAGTAGAAATTTAGAAAAAATTCATAAGTCTGAGGTTTGATGACATCACGTGAAAACCAGCAATATGTAGGACCTCTACCCAACAATGCAGCGTTTGACCATTGTCACATAGACCATAATGCACCTGGTTTACCCCCTAAAACTTTGCATAACCATTGTTTTCAATTTCTCCTGGGTTTCTAAGACAATGGTTATGTAAAATTTTGAGGGGTAAACTAGGTGAATTATGGTCCATGTGGAAATGGTGAAAATAAGGTTTGCAGGGCACTCCTCTCGAAATTTGTGGCAAACCTGTGCAGTAGGAAAATCTTATTGTTAGCTAAACAGTTTTTCATTTTCCTTTGTATTTTGTCAAGAGAGAATGAGCTAAGGGATCGAGCCCCATACACAACCCTCTTCCCACGAAAAATATTTTATGTAAATCTATTCTTGGTTCTGCGTCATACTGCTTGGTTATTTTAAGGACGCCACCTTATTGGTTGGTTAGAGTGGCGTCATGTAATTCTAAACTTGGTGGGAAATTCCTTTCACTGCCGATCACTCACAGCAAGCGATATGACGTGCAAACTTTCGTCGACGAGTCAAAAGATTTCTACTGAGAAATAACTGGCCAAAGTAGCTGCCGACGAGCAAGACGGTCCTGGCTTGCGGGAGTTCAGCGGAGAAAGCGGTTCCAACTCGATTAAAATTGGTTATTGTGATCTTCGCTACATCAGTATATAAACAGCCGACAAACTTTTGTAAATGACACTTTTAATTGAAGGCAAGGCTGATCGGACAGCTAAGGGTTAAAAATTTATTTGCCCAATATTTTTGCTAGACAAAACTAGTCTTCATCAGCGGCTATTATAAAACATAGGCACGTTAAACGTGCATGAGCTATTTTGAATGCTTCAGTGTAACTTTAATGCTTCAGTATAACCTTACCAAGAGTGATGAATCTACCTTTTTCGTCCTAAATGTGGCCTTTGGCTTTCACGGTGTGTCAGTATTAAATATCCGTTAGTTTAAATGAGGCTATCAGCAGTAAGAAAATCTCGATCTTTAATCTAAAAGTGAAATTTTGACTCCAATGCTGTAATCCGTCTTAAAGGAAATTTATTCTTCAATTATGAGGGGAACGAGTTGATCAAAAAACATGTCAACAACTTAAACCTTTAGCGTGCTAATTACTATAACGGCAGTTAAACTTCAAATGTTTGGAGGCGAAACATGTCACGTTCACGTCAGAAAGGAGACCACGCGGGTTACGGAAACAACAAACAAAAATAACCTTGACATCGCAAGCGCGAACTTCAAACAGATGTCAAATAATTATTATGGGGCACTGGAACTCGCTCTCTTAGCTCGTTCTCTCTTGATGTTGTATAAAAGGCTTGGGAGACGCATTTACGTACATTTGTTTGTACGAAGCTGTGTTTTTCATATTTAGGATTAGTTTCTGCACTAACACTGAGTTCCATAGAAACTAAGGACGCCTAACTGGCAATACTGAAAAAAAAAAAAATGAACATGACGGCCGTGAAACAGCCTCTTTAAAGATATCATCTTCTTTGAACAGTTAAGCTTAATGTAGGATATGTAAATATTTAGGTCTACCGTCCCCACCCCCCATGTTTGTATAATCGAGCATGCGCTGTGACTGGTATGATGATTAGAATACACATGTGTGCACGGTTAGCAATGGTGTGTGTTAGTGGTTAAATCTGAATCAATTCTCGGTTAAATACGTAAAGACACTACACTTAGTCCACTGTATGCTCCCTACCAAACCTGCCTACTCAGCGGAAAAAGCTTAGAATTTACATGAATCAAACTAATCCCGATCAGTCATTATGAATTTCTCGTTTCTTTTCAGATTACGTGATATTTTTCTTTGCCTTGGGTTTTCTGATGCAGGAATTCTTAGAGGCAAAAAGACAGGGATCCTATGTTTATATGTCAAAATGGTGAAATATTGTGGACATGATTATCATCTTTACCTTTTTAGTGAGTTATGTAATGTGGTTGATCTCTTGGGGGCATTTTGGAAAGTGGGATCCACGGAAAGAAGTTTTTGTAATAGCCGATGTGTTGTATGCAAGTGCCACGGTGGTGGCCTTCTTTCACTTAACGCACATTTTCCAGGTAAGTTAACAAATTGAAAGAGGTTAATTGTTACGAACATTTTGCTGTTTTGGGTCAAGTTCTGTGCTGAAGTCATTACTTAGCGCTTTACCCTTATAGAAAATGCTCCCGTAGAGCTATGTAGAAGATTTCAAACAAATGTCATCAAGGAGCACTAACCATAATATTTTTTGGTGATTTTGTCGATATAGCATTAAACCTTGAAAAAAATGGCCCAACTTTTTCAAGTTTCAATCCATGTCCATCCTTGCCATCCGTTGACACAGACGACATGAAATAGTTTTAGTGCCTAAATATAGTCTTGAATGACAAACCTGGACCATTACTTTTGGAATACAATTGGCTTTTTAAGAAGATAGCAAGTAGCATGACAGCCCTTTAAATCCAAGAAAAGACGATAAAAAGCGATGTTATCTGCTGACGACCCCTAGCATGTAGCATATTAAGTTGATAGCCAATGTTTTAAGCGGTAATGGTCTACTTATGTAATTACTGATGAGAGACAAAGTTTACTCGTACTGAAGCTTTTCTCTGCCTGATCTGTATCATTCCTTGTGTAAAAAAGTTAACCCGTCAAAGCTCCGAGCCCGTTCATTGCTTGTTTTCACGCGATGATTTTGATTGTTCTGTTATTCACACATGGCGCACCGATAAAAGCAAAACTGTGATTGGAGGAGTCACCATACCGCAAACGTGGCGCGAACACCTTCCAGAAAATGGGAGCTGAATTCTAATTGGCTAATCGCGGGAAAGGAATGTGGTTCGATTTTCAGCAGCCGTTACAGTGGAGAGCGTTGCGCGACGACACACTAAAAACGGCTGTGTAGCAAACTAATAATCTCCGTGAGAAGTAAAAAATTCTGTATGTTTGAAATCGACTAAAACGAAAATATATTTCTAACCTTAAATTTTCAATAGCCTTGATAGATTATTTAATAAAAACGTTATAAATGACTCAAATTATTCTTAAGTAGCGTCAGAATGTTGCCTAATATCATATTTTGATGCTAGGAAATTTTGATGTATTTTCGTTCTTGCGATCTTGAAAACTAACTCGTTTTCTCACCACCTGTCTAAGTGCAACTTCATTCAAAATTTGGACTTTTAGCGCTTTTTTGTATATCTCTGAAACGATTCGAGCCAATTTTTTAAAAATCTCTTCACATAATCTTCATAATGTATATAATAAGGTCTGAAACTTTCATTAAGATTGATTCACTGCAACACCTTGAAATTTCAAGACAAACCTATTCTACTTCCCGGTCAAAATTCTGCGTTACAACATTCACTGTTTTGACGTTATGCTAATTTTCCCAAAAATAATGCGCACTATACATACCTCCATGACTAGTACATTTTAGTTTGAATTTATCGCATCTTTTGAATGTAAAACATTGACAATAATCACACTGAAGTGTCTAGATCTGGTCTAAATCGCGCAAAACTAGGCGTTTATCAGTTTCATAGTTTTTTGCTTATTGTTGTCATAGTAATATCGATTTTACTAAAACCCACATTTTGATAGATTTCAATCTATAGTCAATCATTGGTGAAAATTTTATAGCGATCAGACAAGGATAAAATCACTTTTAAATCGATTGAAAAGTATCGGTATGGCCTCTGAAAAACTGTATCGAAATACCCTAAGTCATTTAATTTTAACGCTTTCACGAACTGAGACTTTGGCGAATTAAGGTATTCAAAACTTTTGCGACGACAATGGAACATTAATTTTATGTGATAAAACTGGAGCCGCCCATGGTCAAAATAATAAACGTCATTAGCTTCAAAAAAATCAAAATAATACAACGTTCTGAATCTTAATTTTGGACGAAACAAACGAAACTCAATGCTGTCCTCACTCGTATTGTGCACGAGACATCCGATACACGTCATAGTCACCGTCAAATAGCATATTGTGTGTGAAACTGACTGTCGTATAGACTGACCTTGAATTTTGAACAGCATTATTGTTGTAACTTTAAGCTTGCCATGCGGTCATGTCGTAAATGTATGCGCGCGCAAGTCACATGGTAGAGACTGTATCTGAACATTCTCGTCTCCAGAGCCCGTCGTTTCTTGGTCACGTGGTCGGGAAACGAGGGGCTCTGGAAGCAGTCGTTACCGGATGTCAGAAAATTTCTGACATCCGGTCGCGCATGTGCAGAAGTTGCAAATATCACTGCTCATGCTCATAACGGATTTTTGTCCCTCACCGCTCCACTGGGGGAAAAATTTTACTTCCTGAACTCTCTCCAGAGAGCGGCTTCTATGGGATGTTTTGAAAATGCACCACTTCACTCAACTTGGATTCACTGATAATTTGGAGTTAAAAGAAGACAGTAACAGAAACCGGCTGAACACACTGTTGTTTTGCAGAACTGAGACAATTAACCGGCAGACTATCGTCTGAGTTATATGAGTTTTTTTTTTTCAATACGTTTGGCGAACAAATACTGGGAAAGTAATATCGCGAAGATCGATATAATGCGGGAAAAGTCAATCTAAAAAGGTATCTTGTTCCATGTCCTGCAACTGCTATCTTACTTATGAACACTTTTTGAAACGAAACCATTCATGTGTTGTGTTAGGAGAGTAAAATATATATTTCATTTCACTCGATCGAGCTGGTTGTGTTTTTTTCTATGTTTATTTCCTTTTGTGGTGTCGCATGTCGTGGTTTTAATTTTGCCCATGAGCTTTTGTGTACAACACGTGTTAGACAACCGAAGGATTTACGTCGAAACAAATCAATATTAATCATTTTACCGACCCAGGGTAAAAAACATATATTACAAGGTTTGTCCAGGAGAAGTGAGAGTCTAATACACCTCCATGGGCTTCCATGCAAGGCAACTTTATACAGTACTGAGTGAATCAAATTCCAGTTCAGTTTTCTCTGTATATCAACCCTATATATTAAGAGAACCTGTACTCTGCCGCACTTTAGTACCCCCCCCAAATAGAGTTAAATATAAAAATGACGTAAAAATCAAACACATTTAGGAAATTCTAGTAAAGAGTAAAGTGCGGTAAAATAAATAAAATTGATTTAAGAAAGAAAATATAAAGAAAATATAAAGGAAAATGGCTGAAGAAGACTACAATAAATTGAGTTTAATTCAACTAAAGCAATTGTTGAAAAATAAGAGAAAGAAGAATAAGGAAAATTATAATAAAATGAGGGAGAAGTTAGTTAAGGATATTTTGAGAGAAGATAAGATTAGCGAGAGAATAAATAAAAAAGTAAGAAAAAAAGTAGCATTAAAAAGGGTAAATAAGCCTAAAAGACATCCAAAACCAAAGAAAAAGCTTAATTATGATGAATATTTTGAGGAGTGTATCAGAAATAAAACAATACCCAAAGATGCCCCTCTTTATCTGCGTAAGGCAATTGAGAGAGCTATAAGAGAGCGTGATCAGGGTCTAATTAGAGAAAAATCTGCTTTGGAAGGTTTTGCCAACTTGTATAAGGTTAAGGGTGAACCTGGTTTACTTCCTTTACAATTCTTTGCAAAAAATAAGCAATTACTTAAGGAGTTTTTTAGTAATCATAGAAATATTAAATTTACTATGGTTTTAGTTTGTATGATGGAACATAGGTCAGGTGGGTTTAAAATGGAGGTTATACAAGAAGATAAGGCTTATTTTCTCTCAGAAACTTATATTAATCTTAAGTCAACTGATGTAAAAAAAGTAGTAACAGACGCAATCCGCGATATTATACAAAAGTTAAACGTATACCAATTGAATGGGAGCGGATGGTATTTTAAGGAAGTTTTATATTTAGAGATCCATACTTATAAATATAACCCAATTAAAGCATCTTCTTATATTCCTCTACCCGACTGGATAATGAGGAAAAAAAGCTATTGTTAGTATTAGAAACAAAGATAATAAATGTTTTATTTGGTCTATATTACGTTATCTTCATCCAAAGAAAAGGGATGATTGTCGTTTATTTGATCTTAAGAAATACGAGAATGATATAGTTATACCAAAGGGATTTAGTTTTCCAGTCAAAACTACTGATATTACAAAATTTGAGAATGCTAATCCTGTTATCCCAGGTATAAATGTGTTTTCAATTGATGAAAAAAGAGTAATTTACCCATTAAGAATGGCTAATAGAGATCCCTCTAAAACAATAGATTTATTTCTTTATGAAGAAAATGGTAAGTGGCATTATTCTCTAATAAAACATTTTTCCCGTTTAATTAGATCACAAAAAACTTCTAATAGTAATGCTAAATTTTTAGTTTGTAAGAGATGTTTTAATCATTTTACATCTGAATCACTGAATCAAAGTTACAAAAACATATAAATTATTGTACTAACAATGAGGCGGCTGTTGCTAAAATGCCAACAGAAGGTAAAGATGATATATTGAAATATAAAAATACTCACAAACAATTTTTAGTTCCTTTTGTAGCTTATGCAGATTTTGAGTGTTTTACTAAACCAATGAGTAGTTGTTCCCCAAATCCTGAAGATTCTTATAATTATAATTATCAAAAACATGAACCATCAGGATTTTGTTTATATTTTAAAGGAATAGTTGAAACTAAATTTGAACCAATATTATACACCAAAAGATATGAAGAAGAGAATTTAGCTAAAATATTTGTAAAAAAACTAGTAATGGCAACTCATAAAATTTATAATGAATATTATCGTAGACCAAAGCCAATCAGGTTAACAAAAGAAGATCATTTAAATTTTGTTGAAGCAAAAATTTGTCATATTTGTAAAGAAGAAATAACAGAAAGAAAAGTAAGAGATCATTGTCATTTTACTGGTAAATATCGAGGAGCAGCCCATAGTAGGTGCAATTTAAAGGCAAGAAAGCCTTTACTTCTTCCAGTTATATTTCATAATCTTCAGGGTTATGATGCTCATCTTTTTATAAAAGAGCTTGCTGCTTTGAGAGGTGATTTTAGTTGTATACCTTCAACTGAAGAGAAGTATAAATTTGATGAATATATTTGTCGTAAAAGTGGAAGAATGAGGCATTTGAAGTTTGAAATACGTTTCATAGATTCATTTAAGTTTCTTCAAACATCACTTGCTAATCTTGTATCAAATTTGCAACCACAGGATTTTATTAATACCAAAGAAATATTCAAGGAAAATACAGATTTACTTACACGAAAAGGTGTCTTTCCTTATGATTATGTTTCATCAATTCACAAATTAGATGAAAAACAGCTTCCATCTAAAGAAGAATTTTATTCTAAATTAAATGATGAGAATATATCAGATGAAGATTACCAACACGCATTGAATGTATTTCATACATTTAATTGTAAGTCAATAAGAGATTATCACGATCTTTATCTTAAGTCTGATGTATTACTTCTGTCAGATGTCTTTGAAAACTTTAGAAAAACTTGTCTTAAACATTATAAGTTAGATCCTGCTCATTATTACACATCTCCAGGCCTTGCTTGGGATGCTTGTCTCAAAGAAACACAACAGCAATTAGAGTTATTAACTGATTACGATATGTTAATGATGGTTGAAAAAGGTATTCGTGGTGGTATAAGCCATATATCAAAAAGATATGCAGAAGCAAACAATAAATACATGAAGGATTATAATCCAGATAAGGAGTCAGTTTATATTCAATATTTAGATGCGAATAATCTTTATGGATGGGCGATGTCTCAACCACTTCCAACTCATGGATTTAAATGGATTGAAAATCTAACAAAAGAAAAAGTAATAGAAATTCTTAATAAAGAAAATAGCGAAAACGGTTTTTTGTTTGAAGTAGATTTACTCTATCCTCGCGATTTGTGGAAATTACATGATGATTATCCTTTAGCTCCAGAGAAGAAGAAGGTAAAAAATGTTGAAAAACTATTTTGTGATTTTATACCAAAGAAAAACTATGTAGCTCATTATCAAAATCTTAAACAGTATTTAAAAATGGGAATAGAAATAACAGCCGTTCATCGAGGCATATCTTTCTTTCAATCTGCTTGGATGGAACCTTATATTAGGAAGAATACAGAATTAAGAAAGACAGCAGCTAACTCTTTTGAGAAAGATTTTTTCAAACTAATGAATAATTCTGTATTTGGGAAAACAATAGAAAATATAAGAAAAAGACAAAATATAGAACTAGTTGATAATTGTAAGAAAGCTTTAAAACTAGTAAACCAACCTAATTTTCAACGAGCTACAATATTTGATAAGCATTTTATAGCAGTTCATAAGAAAAGACCAGAAGTGAAATTTGATAAACCAGTTTATGTAGGACAGGCTATTTTAGATTTGTCTAAAACTCTAATGTTTGATTTTCACTACAACTATATTAAGAATAAATACAAAAATAAAGCAGAATTGCTGTTTACTGATACAGATTCCCTGATGTATGAGATAAGAACAGATGATTTTTACAAAGATATATCACAAGATATAGAATCCAAGTTTGACACATCTGATTACCCAAAAGATCATCCTTCTGGTATATTAACAGGAGTAAACAAAAAAGTTATGGGAATGTTCAAAGATGAAGTAGCAGGAAACCAATTAACTCATTTTGTTGGTCTTCGTCCTAAACTTTATTGCTTTAAGGTAGAGGGCGATAAAATAACCAAAAAATGTAAGGGAATGAAGAAGAATGTTGTTAAAAAAGGTATACAATTCGAAGATTATGTCAAGTGCTTATTTTCAGGTGAAAAACAGATGAGAAAGATGAATATTATAAGGAGTGAAAACCATGATATTTATTCTAAAGAAGTTAATAAAATAGCACTTAGTAATGACGACGATAAGCGCAAAATATTAGGGGATCAAGTACATACTAAAGCTTTAAGGCCTCCTAGTAAATTAGTATAATGATAAAAATAAAATAATGAATTACTCTCAAGAAGAGATCCAAAAATATTTAGAAATATTAGAGAGTAATATTAAAAATAAACCTGAACCCGAAATACCCTCCATTAACAACATTATTGATAGCAGGGGGGTTTTGGGGGGGCAAAGCCCCCCATATGTTGTGGCAATCCTCATTTTACTATTTGGAGTGGTTATCGTTTTTGTGAAAATTGTTGTACAACTTCTGGTCATGTTTTAGGTTATTTTGATACTAAAGAATATGATAGATTTCATTTTCAGAAGAAGAGTGTATATCAACCTAAATATTATTATGAAAAGAAAGTAAACCAGATCTCAAATAAAATTAATCTTTCCGATGAGGAAAAGTCTTTAGTTTATGATAAATTGATTAAAATTGATGAAAAAATAAAGGAACAGCTAAACAATCAGTTTGGTCGTAAGAGGTTAATTAATATTTTGTATTTAATAAAGAAAATTTTAGAGGAAATGGGATCTGATAAGAGTGAAGAAATTATTTTAAAAATAGGTAAGAAAACTTTAGAGAATTATGATGATTGGTGGGAAAACTATGTAAATATGAGAAACTAATTCTATATTAATTTTAATATAGAATTAAACCCTTGCAGCAGGGGGGTTTTGGGGGGACAAGGTCCCCCCATTATGCGACACCGTTTTTAAATGACCAGAATATTATTCCAAGTAAATAACCAAGTACTTCTGATTCCTTAAATGGAGAATTCATAACGTAAACACTTCCTCTACCTAATCTATATTTTTTATAGAAAGATTTGAATGCTAAATTGAATATCAAGTGATTAGCTATCACAGGCGAATTTGCCATTAGAGAGTATCTATCTCCAGATAGATTGTATATAATTTGGCTTAGATCAAGTTTGTTACTAAAATTCTCAGCGTACAAATACTGGTAAACAAGGCAAGCTTTAATAAAATTATCGGGGTAAAATTGTGTTTTATAAGCTGGAAAATGAGTGTTAACATAATCAACAATTTCTTGTATCATTTTATATTATCTTTAGATTATTTGCAGCTTCTTTTACAAATTTTTTATTATACCTACTAGAGAATCTATCAGCGATTGGTGATTGATCAATTATCATTTCATCTATCAGCTTCATTCTATCTACGAATTCGTCTTTGTTAAACTCATCTCCTCTTAGAGCTGCTCTCAATTCAACAAGTGTTTTTTCATATGTTGTATAAGCTATCCTTGATAACTCTATTTTTTTCTTGTAATTTGTATTCTTCCCCACACCAGCCATTATAACTCCAGCTCCATTTACTACCCCTAGAATAACTGGGTTCAAAGTTATACCTCCTGTAATAGTACCTATAGCAACTAAGCATATGCCAGAAATTGTAAATACATCGTCAAGAAATTTGTAACTCTTATAACATTTCTTAAAACACCAAAATTTCTTGTGGTAGTGCCTATAAAAATCTTTTATAGTTTCTATTTCTGTTTGAGAAAGAGATTTATCTATGTGATTAAATTCAAAGATATCTTTTACTTTATCCTTCATTTTATTAAATTATTATATTAGTGGCGGCGTAGCCAAGGGAAAGGGGTGTTAGGGGAAAACCGTAGGTTTTCCCCTTATACTACATAAGAACCGTTTAACTTTTCTTGAATCATTACTTTATGATATTGCTCAGAGTCAAAGTCGTAAAAGTTTGGAGAGTACATTAATTTATTTAACACTCCATCTTCAGTTGTAAACTTCCAACGTTGATTAACATTATAAAAAACAGCTGGTATAGTTAATGTTCCGCTATAGTTACTTATTTTAACTTTTGTAACATTTGAATTAAAATTTTCTGTTAGCCATAATACAATTATTTTTCCACTAAATTCACTTAGCATGGTAAAATTTTGAGTTGCTCTATTGATAGTTAAAGTTACTTTATTGTTTGTTTTATCATAGTTTAATTTTACTAAAATATTATTATTTGTTGATAAATATTTAGTTAGGGTAAAACTCCTATTTCTCCAATGAGTAAAAACAATACATAAAGTAGATTTCGAAGAATGTGTAGGAGAAAAAGTAACATCGTAACCATTAACATGTAATCCATCTTTTTCTATTTCATCTAGGTCTTTATTAGGTGGTTGTGTAATATTAGGCTTTACAGAATTAATAATAACTCCAGATGAACCTATATTTATTCCATAACTATCCGCATGAGTAAAGTCATAGACCTCACTAAAGTATAATCTATACAAAGCATTTTTAGTAAAAGGAGCTACTTCTTTTACTAAAGCGACTGTCGCGGCACTATTATCATTTTGTCGGTCAAGTTTGATATTTGTAATTTCTTTTTGATTTGCATTTATATCAACATTGTACACCACTTCTGTTGGTTTGATATCATATGCGGTGTGAAAGTCATAAACTTTATCTGGATCGATATTGCTAATTGTTCCTACAATTCCGTAAGCAATTATGTAAACTCCTGTAAACTGATTAGGATAAAAAGCCAGATCAATTCCATCTTGTGGAATATTAACCAAAATGTGAAGAAAGAACTTATTACCAGTTGACAACTTCCGGAAATTAACTATTATTCTGTGATAATACATAAATTTTGGAGACCCATTTGATTGTATATACCTATGGTAGAGTTTCCTTATACTAACATTTCCAATTGATAATCCTGTTGAACTTCCTTTGTCTACGCTAATTTGGGACTTATGCCATAGAGCGTATTCAGAGTTAAGTATTTCCAAACAAAGTGTGTAATCAGTATTTTTAGTTAACCTGTAAAAGTTGATTCCCATTTTATACTTGTAACCACCTTGAGAATATTTGTTTATCCCCATTTTAATAACTTTATGGTTATAATCGTGAAAATTTCCATTTTTTGGTCCTAAATCTCCTATACTTTTTATAACAAAACTAGTTCTGGTATCTATTTCATCAGTCCATTGAGATGCGCTTGTCATTAGATAAGCAAACTGGTTGTTGTAATGACTTGGTTGAACTGTGGCATGTTGAACTAGATTATCAACATAACTTTTTGTTGTGGCTTCATTACCTTGAGTAGGAGTTCCTAAGTTTTCTATTTTATTTCCTCCCATATTTAGATCATCTTTTAATGTGCCACTAATTACAATATTTGGTGTGTTAATTTCTATTCTACCAAGTGGTTTAGTAATTGCTTTTGGTAGATCAAAAAATACTCTGCAAGTTATAGCAGAGTGATTGTTGTTATTATGAGTTCGTAGTTTTACTCCTGACATATTGTAGTTCCAGGACTTGTGGATATTCAATGACCATGTGCCAGTTCGATTTCCACTAACCCAAAAGACAGAATTGGAATGGAAACTGCCTCTTGGGATAAAAAACAAAAAGTCAACGTTTATATTTCTCGATCCAAATTGAAATTCTATTTTGTTAATGTATGTGTTAGCAGTTGGAGCAAATGAAGCAAGTGCTTGACCAGGTGCTGATGTAGTTAAAACAAAATCAGCAGGGGGGCTTTGGGGGGGGGCACTCCCCCCACTGATATATTGTAGATACATTGTTGTAGGTCTAGCTGGTGGAGTTATATTGAAAACACCAATTTGGGCTTCTCCAGAATGATGATCAAGCCTTTCTATTTGTTTACGTACCCATCCTCGATTAGCAGCTTGTTTATCTGTGGTGGGGTCACTGAGATTATCTATTTCATGGCTGTTAAGATTTAAGTTACCTGTCATTGCAACAGTGCCATCTTTTTCCAAATAATCACTTAGATCTGGGGCCCCAGTATTATCATCAACATACTTTTTGGTTGCAGCATCTGTGTCTGATGTTGGTGGTCTTAAATTAATTATGCGTTTGTTGTCCATGTTTAGATTATTAGTCATTGTAGATGAACCATCACGGGCAACATACTTTAAATCAGTAAAAGCTAATGGTGTTGGTTGTTTGGGCCCCGTTGGAGTAGGTAAATTGAATATTCTATTGTTGGCCATGTCTAGACTTCCTTTCATTGCATCAGTCCCATCTTTTTTAAGATAATTAGCTAGTTCTTGTTTTGTTGCTGCAGAGCTCATTGTATTTGTTACTTTTGTATCAACATAGGATTTATTTGCTGCGTCATCATTATCTGTTGGTGCGCCAACTTTAACCATTTTATTATTATCCATATTAAGATTACTTTTCATTGGGTAGGAACCATCTCTATCAAGAAATGTATTGTCTACATACTCTTTAGTAGGTGGTTCTTTTCCATCCAGTGGTGTGCTAAGATTTGTAATTCGGTATTATTTCTTCATATCAATGTTTGAATCAACTGTCAATCCTGATGTTTTGGGAGAACCACTGGAATTATCATCAACATACTTTTTAGTAGCAGCATCAGTATTATTACTAGGTGCTCCTACATTTGTGAGTTTCTTTTTATTCATATCATAATTACCATCTGCGTTTAGACTAAATCCAACTCCTGGAGCGCCAGGAATACCTTTAGCAAAAGGATGATCAAAAGATTGTTCGTTAAATATTCCCATTTTATTTATTGTTTACATAAAAAGCAGAGCTCACAATCCCCCTAGCAGGGGGGTTTTGGGGGGGTGCAACCCCCCCATCCGTAGGTTCCCCTTATATGTTCTCATTAAAGTTTATTGCTAAACGTTTTTTTGGTTTATCAACGTATAGAAATGAATATTGTTTTTTAGTTGCTGCCCTATATGATTCTTTATTAACTCCCAACTCAGATGATATTCTGTTTGCTTCCCTCGATGATGGAAATTCATACAGACAATAGTGAGAACAATTCAACCGGATATCCTTTGGAGTTTTATAAAATGATTGACTGAGGTAGATTACAGAGCAATTCTTATGTCGTCCTTGAATGAAATAATCTATTAACTGTCTCTGGTTTTTATCACAGACGTAATCATCAAATATTACAAGTTTTTGATTGTCTTCGTAATCCATTTCTGTAACCGGGATTATTTCATTGTTACTAACATTAAGTATTTCATATCCTAGTTTAGAAGATAACTCTCTCATTTTCTGAATTAGCTTTTGATACTTATCCTGTTCTAGATTTCGAGCGTAAAGATAAATCTCATCGTAATACAACAACGGTTTGATTAACATATGATACAGCAGATTAGTCTTACCTCTTCCACTATTTCCGCATATCAACATACGAAATGTGTCTGATGGCATGTAAGGATACAGCTGTTTATATTTTTTATCAATGTCATCGGTACTATCATAGTTTGGTATTTCCATTTTATATATTGATTAAATAATTTTTGTAGCAGGGGGGGTTTGGGGGGATGCAATCCCCCCACAAGGGAGGGGTGTTAGGGGAACCGTAGGTTCCCCTTATATTTTTATTTAATCAATAGATAAAATGGATATAGAAGAAGCCAAAAAATTTGCGAGAGATAAGATTGCAGCAGATGATATGTTACTGCAAGTAAGAAATGTTATAAAAGAAACAAAATGGCAAAAACAAGATATGAGAGAGGGATTTAAAGAAACATTTAAACCACTTATTAAATCTCAAGATAGCATTAAAAAAAGTATCGATGAGCAACAAAACGCAACTATAGAACAACTTAAAAAAAATCAACTTGCTCTTACACAAGGTCTTAATCAAAACAGACTTGCTATAACTGAAGGATTTGATAAACTTGACGAAGTAAAAAAATGGGATTTGGCTCAATTACCTGGTTTTGAGGCGATTGAAGAGTCTAAAGAAGATGATGGTGTTTTACCCTCTACATCAGAGGAAGGACCAAAAATAGCAAAATTTACACCTGAAGACCTCGATAGAAATTTAATGAATAAAGAAGCACAAGATATACTAAAATCGAATGGTTATGATAATCTTCCTTCTGAGTATTTTGAAGAGGATGTTTCTACTATTGATAAATTAATCGAGGATGTTAATGAAGATTTAGGAGAGACTAGTAAAGCAATAAAAAATACCGCAGTTTTTGAACATGATTCAAACGGTTATTTTATAGCTAAACCAGTAAATAAAAATCCACGTGAAAACACAAAAAATTTTATAAAAAAATATAACACATTAAGCATATATGCAACAAATTTAAGTAATCTTAAGTATTACAAAACAAAATCTGGCTCTGGAATGATTTACTTTAACAACCCACATCAACTTCTAGACAGACTTGAACTACTCGGTGGATCAATTCTAGCTGGTAATAACGGTGTGATAAATGAGTTTTCTCAAATAGCTCATCTTCTAAACCAAATGAAAGTGATCTCAAAAAAACAACTTAACGATTTACTAAAAAAATACCTAGTATAAGGGAAAGGGGGTTATGGGGGAAAACCGTAGGTTTTCACCCATTATGTAAACAGAAGATAAAATGGAAGAACGAGCTATTCATATTTCTTCAATAAATAGGGAAAAAAGAGGAACAAGCAGACCTGGTGATTTTACTATTAAGTTTAACCCATCTCTGAAACTTGATCCTGATAAGAAACATCAACTTGCTCTTGATCGATTGTCAATGACTTACTCATGGTACAACATTAGAAGTGATTATGGAAACAATAAGATTAAATACACTCATGATGGATCCGCCTGGCAAACAATTACTTTTGTAGATGGAATGTATTCCTACTCAGATATCAATGATTACATTCATCAGTACATGGACCAAAAGTCTCACCACGCAACAGATTCTAAAGGAGTAAAAAAGTATTCAATCAATCTAACTTTTATACTATCCACCTATCGAGTGTTAGTATCACTCGATGGTGATTATCAACTTGATCTTAGAGGAACAGAATTTGGAGACCTGATTGGATTTGAAAAGAAAGTTATTACAAAAACAGAGTATGGATCAAAACTACCAAATATAACAAATTCGATTGATGTGTTAAATATCAACACAACGGCGATAACTGATAGTATTGTAAATGGAATAAATACTAATACCGTTGCTGTGATACCAACTGATAACCTCACAAGGTCTTATCCATTTACTTTCGAACCTAAAAGACCATTGTATTGCCCTGTCTCTTCATTTCACATTGATGAAATGAGAATCTATGTGACAGACTCACTTGGAAGACCAGTAAATTTCAACGGTATAGATTGGTTTATGACTTTGATACTCCACTCTATGTAATGGGTGGGGGAACCTACGGTTCCCCCAAAACCCCCTCCCTTGGCTACGCCGCGTTAATATATAACTATTATAATAAAATGACGCGACAATCAGAGTATAAAAAAAGATTTGACCCTGAATTGGGCAGATTTACAAAACAACACGTTTATGGAGAAGGAATAACAGATGTTTTAAAATCGTTTGGTTCAAAATTATTTGGAAATACAGTAAAATCTGCTGCTAAAAAAGGAGCTAAAAAAGCAGTGACAGCAGCTGCAACAAAAACCGGTGAATATGCTGGTAAAAAGGCTGGTGATAAGATAGTGCAAATGTTATCAAAAGGGAGGGTTGCGAGCCCTGCGGGCAGCCCCCGAAACCCCCCTGCTAAAAAAGTTACTTTTAAACCAGTTCCAAAAAATACTCAACAAGATATAAATCGAAGAGTGAATGCCATTTTGAGCGGGGGTAAAATTATATAATTATTAAAATAAAATGAAGTCCTTTAGAAATCCAGAATTTTTAGAAAGATATGAAGATGTTGTTTTTGACCTTGAACAGGCTTTAGCCACACCTGGAAATAATGCTCATCAAACTAAAACAGAACATAGATTTGTTGCTGATAACACAGGTGAAGCAACTCCATTTGATTGGTATAACGCGCGATTTTCAGTAGATTTCAAAGTTAATCAGCTAGCTGCTGGAGCTAATATAGATGCTGATGGTGACCAGATGGGAATAGTAAATGGTAGTAATTCTCTTGTAGAAAAATTAACCATCCTAGCAAATGGACGAGATGTTTACAGTTGCAACTATGCTAATCATATTGTAAATATCAAAAATTTGCTTGAGTATAATTCTTCCTATGTTGAGAGTGTAGCTACAAATGAATTTTACTATCTTGATACAACAAGACACGCTGAAAGACAAAAGTTTACCAGCGGAAATGTAAGAAATGCCGCAGGTGATGGACAAACAGCAGCACTTTTAACCTCTGTAGCTAATTATAACAAAGGTTTTGCTGTGAGAAAAGCATTACTAGGCGACTCAGCAACAGTGCGATGTGATATTCCCCTCAACAGATATTCTTTCTTTGAGGCATTGGAGGATAAACTTCTTCCAAATACAAAAATTGAAATAAAAATTGAACTAGAATCGGATGACAATCTCATCTGGCGAGCTGGCGGAAATGATTGTAGAGTTATACTAACAAGATTACAACTATTTGTCCCAAGAATAACATTTAGCAAAAAAGGACAAGACATATACTTGAAAAATTATCTCAAGCCATACAAATGGAAGTATCTTAATGAAGTAGTAGAGCGATCAAATAACTCTCAACAGCAAACAGGACAATTCAGAATTACAAATGCTATCTCAAAACCTCGCCATGTCTTTGTTTTTGCAATTAACACAGCTAATATTGAATCACAAACAGCAAATCCATTTTTATATAACACTTTTAATTTACCAAACAATGCTAATATATCTCGATGTTATCTCGAGGTAGGAAATGGAAATGAATACCCTGATATTCACTTTAAACCAGCTACAGATCCAGCTAGAGTGTTTCGAGAAGTAATGTCATACGTATATGCAAATAATGACTTTCAAGGCGGAACACTTCTCACTAGAACAAATTTTGAAAATTTATTTCCTTTTGTTTATTTTGATCTTACAAAACAAAAAATAGATATCAAAGATGGAGTTACAAAACTCGCATTTCACTATGAGTTATCTGCTAATCCAAACGCTGATTATAATATTTACGCTCTGGTGCTTCATGAGCGAGAGGCAGAAATAGAACAACAAGGAGGAAAACTATTGCTTAGAGCTTAAACTAAATCAAAAGTTCAACTACATAAGCGAATTGATAAAAAGTCATGTGGTAAAACAACAAATACTTCAAGAGTTAAACTTGATTGATCCATTTCTTGTGACGATCCTTCCTTCAAAGTAGGAGCAGCGCCGTATCGCATATTTAATCGAACTTTCACGAGAATCATAAATTTTAATAAGAAAAAACAATAGGTTTATCACGTGTAAAACAAAAGAACACATTCCGGATTACCCTAACAACGAACAAAGCCTAATAAAGTTTTCAAGTTTACTTTTCAAACATTAAGTTGCTAGGGTAATCCGGAATGTGTTCTTTTGTTTTACGCCTGGGGGGATTGCATCCCCCCAAAACCCCCCTGCTTCTAATGACAAAGCAATTTTTACAATTAGATTTTGAAGATAAAATCTAATTATATCAAACGGGGAAACCCCCTCCCTTCGTACCGCCGCGTGAGGTTACACGTGGGGGAAAACAGCCCCCATAACCCCCTTTCCTTGTCTACACCACGTAAAATAAGAATTTACATAGAAAAAGGGAAGGGGTTTTGGGGAAACCGTAGGTTTCCCCATAATTTAATATAAACATTAAAATAAAATGTCTAATTATATGGAATACGGAGTAAAGCTTACAGATGGCCAAAAGACAAAACTGGCTTCCGCAATAATAAATCAGTCACCTTTGACTCTTCGGTTAAAACATTCGCATCTTAGAGGACATGATGAGTTAATGTTGACAAAAAGACAGATTGCCAAAATAAATAAATCTATTGCAAATGGCACACGATCAGATATAAAGATAAGTAAAACTCAAATTAGAAAATCTGTAAAACATGGAGGAAACTTATTTACATCACTTGCTTCTATTGGAGCAAAAGTTCTTCCTTACGCTATAAAAGGATTAAGTAAAGCTGTTCCCGCATTAGCTACAGGAGCTGCCACTGCACTTGGTGAACTTGGTATAAATAAAATATTTGGAAAAGGACAAAGAGGAGGAGCAATGGATTTAGCCAGCCTATATGAAATAGCGAGAAAAGGAATACCAATTCCAGCAGCTGCATTAACTTTGCTTCCAAGTATAAGTAATGCTTTTAACAAATCACAGTTGAACCAAATTAGCAGAGCTATGCAAACGGGTAGAGGATTTACTATAAAACCAACTAGAAAACAAATAGAAGGAGGATTTTTAGGTACTCTTGCTTCTATTGGGATACCAATAGCAGTTAGTTTAGTATCTAAGATGCTTGGTGGGGGGCTTCAGGTTGATAGACGAGGGTCATCTAATACAGCAAATGTTTACGTGCCACACACACATGGAGAAGGTTATCCGTATCAACCTCCTCCCTTTATTGGCACATGGGGAAACCCCATAGGAATGGGGGCTCCGAGTAAAAAAAAAAAGACCAAGACCAAAGGAAAAGGGCTACTACTAGGAAAAAACAGCCCATTCAACTCAATTCCAATAATAGGCTCCATTTTATAATAGGGGGAGTGCCTCCCCCCAAAACCCCCCTGCCCTTTGTGATTAAACCTCTATCAAACTTTGACCTTATGGAATGGATAAAAAGACTTGGTATTAAACATTTCAGAGGAATATATAGTCGTGATGGTTTACCAAAAAAGATTAGAAAAGAATGTGGTATAATTAATCTGGATGATATAACAGGGCCAGGAACACACTGGGTTTGTTACCGTAATATAGATGGTTCATATGAGTACTTTGATCCATTTGGGTTGATAATGCCAAATGAAGTATTAAAGTATTTTAAAACAGGTCCTGTAAAACGTATAGTTTACTCTATGGACGAAATACAAAATAGAAGTACTGTTTTATGTGGATATTGGTGTTTGTATTATTTATTAGAGAGACAAAAGGGTAATAGTATTTTAGATATAATACATAACCCTCATTTTGACAACGACAACAGTGACTTTATCAAGTCATACTTTATGGGGGGATTGCGAGCCCCCAAAACACCCCTGCTGCAGGTAATATAAAAATAATATTTTAATAAATATTATTTTTTTAATCCTACTTTCCTTGCTCTTCATTCTCCTCTTCAATTGGAGCATTCTTCTGTGATTTAAGACTATCAACTTTTTTATTTAAAATTTTAAATATAATTTCCATCCAAAATTTAGCCTCTTTTCTACTTACTTCTGCATATAAAGGTTCATTTTTTTTAATATCATCAAAAATACTATTAATTTCATTTCGAATTTCATTCTCGTAATCAACTATTAACTGTTTATCAATATCTTTAACAAACCTGTCTTCCATTTTTTAAATAACTAAAACCTTTAACCCATTTTAAAACACTATTCATCTTCCTCGTCTTCGTCTTCCTCTTCATCTTTCTCTTCAATAGGAGCGTCATCCGGTGCATTCTTTAGCTGTTTAAGTCCATCAACTTTTCTATTCAAAAATTTAACACTTTCAACCACATCATCAAATTCCGCGTAAATGTCTATAAGGCGCCTAAGTTTTTTATTTTTATCTAAATTTAACTTCAACCAAGAGTATTCCCCATTTTTAATTTTTTCCCACATCTCTCTCTCACCAGCCATAAGAATTCTAGAAAGATCGTCATTTTTTGCTCTTAGAATCTCAAACTCATGATTTATTTTTGTCCTTAATTCTTTCTCAAAATCCTTGAGAGTTTTAACATTCATTTTTTTCTTTATCTCGGTAAAGAATTTAGCTTCCATTTCTATTATATAATTATACAAACATATAATTTCCTTTTACTAAATTTTTAAGCGTATTTGATTTTTCACTTATTTCCATATTAAGGGAAAACCTACGGTTTTCCCCTAACACCCCTTTCCCTTAAAGAAACAAATAATTGTTTCTTATTAAATTTTTAAGTGTTTTTGATTTTTCACTTAAATCCATAACAACTTCAAATACTTTTACAAACTTCTCCCCATTTGAGAGATTTGATAAATCAACGTATTCAAAACTAGTATTTAAATCATCATAAATTTTCTTCAATTCTGTTTTAACAAAATTTGATCTTGTACTCATTTAATATATACTATAGATAAAATGAAAGAGTCTTATTGCATTGTAGATAAAAGAGTAACTCCTTGTATAGAACCAAGTGGTTACCAAAAAGATAAACGAGGAAGAACTCAATTCTTCTGTAGATGTGCTGTATGTGGAAATAAAAAAGTTAGATATGTAAAGACGGGAAAATCACAGCTTCCCCCAAACTGGTAAGCCCGTCAGAGATGGCGGGCGGTAATTTATTAGAAGGATTAAATCTTGTTAAAAAAGGAATAAATGTTGGCCAAACAATATCAGAGACTTTATTTCCCCAAACAAAGCCAATGTTTAAAGATTATTGGTCTGGTGATATAGCAAAAGGTGTTGTCAATAATGAAGACGGAATATTTACGAGTAATTTCTGGACAGGTGATACTACAGTATTTAGAAGTGGAGGTAAAAAGTTTTATTTCAAAGAAGGAAATCCCATAATGATAGTCAAAAAAGACGGAAAACAAATTGGTTATGCTCATGTTAGAGACTTTTTTAAAGGTGGGTTAGGTACTAACAAAATATACAAATCTATAGCGGATATCAAAAAAGTATATGGCAATGATCTAATGGGTAGGGGAGTTTTTGATACTGTTGTTGGTACGGCAGTTGATGGATTTGTTCATCACGGTTTACCTTGGATGGGTAAAAAAGCATTTGAAATGGGAAGGTATTATGGGTCGGAAGCACTTAGAAACCCTAAATTACAAAAAAAGGCAATAAATTACGCTTTGGACAAATTAAACCCAATGATACAAAACGTGGGTTCTCAAGCTTTAGACCAATTATCAACCAAAATAAGACCAAAGAAAAAATACAAAACAAACAGAAAAGATCTCGATGGTGGGGGTATAGATATCCATAAACAGATTGGTAAATTGCCAAAACCAAAAAAAGGATGGACTCTGCCAGGACATAAATATACCGGTCCTTATAATGATCTAGAAAACCAAGTAAGATACGACCCAGTAACTGGAGAAATATTAGAAATTTATGATCAACCAACCGGAGCGACTGATGCTGTGGCTATGCAACATGACGTAGATTATAGTGTTTGTGGTGATGATAGAAAGTGTAAAAATAAAGCTGATAGAAAGATGGTAAAATCTTTAGATGCTATTCCTTGGAAAGAAAGACAATGGGGGCATACTTTAGCTAGAACAATAATAAATACCAAACAAAAACTTGGAATGGGGGCAAAAAACGTAAAACGGCGTTGAGTGGTGATTGGTCTCAACAATTAGCCGACGAACTTCACAAACCAATCACAAGAAACTTTCAAAAGAGGCGAGTAATCTCAAATGGAATTGATGATATCTGGGCTGCTGATTTAGTTGAAATGCAAAAGTTTAGTAAGTGGAACAAAGGGATAAGGTATCTTTTGGTGGTTATTGATGTGTTTAGCAAGTATGGATGGATTAGAGTTTTAAAAGACAAAAAAACTGAAAGTGTAAGTAAAGCATTTGATGACATATTAAAAAGTAAACGTAAACCTGAAATGTTATGGACTGATAAAGGTTCTGAGTTTATCAGTAAACATTTCAAGGATTTTCTGAAAAGAAATGGAATAAGTTTATATCACACTCAAAACGAGGAGAAATCTAGTATTGTTGAGAGATGGAATAGAACAATGAAAGAAAGGATGTGGAAAATGTTTAGTATTAATAACAACACTGTTTACTGGGATAAGTTAGATAAACTAGTTGATAATTACAATAATTCGAGACATTCTAGTATAAAAATGACTCCTGTTGAAGCAAGTAAAAAGAAAAATGAAATGAAAGTTTGGTCTAATTTATACGGTGATTTAATCTACTTGAAACCTGGTAAACCAAAGTTTACAATTGGAGATAAAGTTAGAATTTCTAAATATAAGAGAAAGGTATTTGATAAAGGCTACACTCCAAACTGGACTGAGGAGATATTTGTTATTGATAAAGTTAATGTAACAAAACCTATTACTTATAACATAGTTGATCTTATGGACGAAGAAATTAAGGGTTCTTTTTACGAGCAAGAATTACAAAAAGCAAAACAAGAGACATTTAGAATAGAAAAAATTTTAAAGAGCGATAATAATAAAAAAATAGCATTAATAAAATGGAAAGGTTATCCAGATAAATTTAACTCATGGATAAGTTTTAGGGATTTGGAAATTTTTTAATATGGCGGGATTGCATCCCCCCAAAACCCCCCTGCTTTTTTAATACAAATAATATGTATTAAAAAATGAATAACAAATTCTATAAATATTATCATGACGTAGCTTCTACTAATGCTTCTTCTAAATTCTTTAAATCACTTTCTTCATCTGATGAGATTTCATGTTCGCTTTCTTCTTCATCATCTTCAAACTTAAGTAAAGATTCTCTTGGTTTCAATGGTTTTACGTAACACTCATGAACTTTAATTTGAAGAGAAGTTACTGATTTACTCATAAAAATTCCTTCTACAATTAGAGCTAACTTTACTGTGAAATACTGATCTATGTACTTAAATGGGTTAAGATCTTTGCCTCCATTTCCTTTGAATAAAGATAAAATCTTCTTTGATCTATCAGAATATATTAGTTTTGCATATAATATTGGGGCAGCTGATTCTACTTTCCTTGTTTTTTTCTTTCCTTTCTTATCAACATATTCCTCCTGTTTGTAATAAAGGGGATTTGATAAATGAGAAGCAGCATCAGCACCATATTCAGATTCCAAATGCTGTTGAGCTAGAGAAGTTATTCCAATTATAGAATCATGAAATTCTTTTTCTTTTTTGTCTGGTTCTTCATCTTTAGCCCATAAACATACTGGAATTGAGTAGCCTATTAACTTTTTTGTTTCCTGATTTCTTCTTTCAGTTACACCAAAAGAAAATAAAAATGGAGTTTCTATAACTTAAGCGGGCCTTTTTTGTTATTTGGGTAAATTACTTCAATTGGGATTCTTTTGTATTTAAGATTGCTATCCTTTACTTTAGAAACTTTAGCTTCCTTGAATTTAATGTTTTCGTTTGTTAGATTTTCGAAACTTGTAAGCTGCATTGCTAATTTAAAAAATCATTTTTTTAAATCATTTTTACTTCTTTTATAAATCACCAAAGAAGATTATAGCTCCAATAATTAGAAGAAGTAGGAATTTTATAAGTAAGCTCCCCCTGCCTATTTTTAATTTTAGAAGCCCTAGACAAATATCTATCTCTCCTTTCTTCATCTTTATGAAAAAGGTAATCAGGATACTTAGGAGAACCAAAATGCACTTTTTTCCCCTCTGGTAAAGTAACCATATATTTATTATTCTTTCTTTTAGAGTAATCAAGAGATTCAGCACCAAGTTTTTGAGCTTTCTTAGTTAACTTTTTAAAATCTTTTCCTGTTACTACAAATTTCTCATTATTTGGTACATAATCAGGATCTTCATAATGATTATAACCATCATCAACTATAAAATCTCTATCTTCAGAACTAGGAGTAGATTCTCTTGAACGTCTTGATGAAGATCTACTTGAACAACATGAACTTCTTGAACTAGAAGAACTGGGACTAGATACTGGACTATTTTCACACGATCTTGGATCACTCATTTTATTTAATGATTGGATAATCTTATAACAAAAATGTTATAGGATTAATCATCAAAAAAATCTACATCTATTTTTGAATGGAAATAAGCAGAAAAATGTAACTCAGTTACAAAACAATCACGATCTTCTGTTAGACTCAACGCTGTAATATTTTTAAACAACTCGTACAAATTTTGAGTCGCGTAAAGATATTTAGCTTCTTTTACTTTTACTTTATCAAATCTACTGAAGAATTCTTTCATATCAAGGGAACCAGCTTTTATCGCATCAACTAACTGGTAAGCATTTGTATCAATGTTTTTAAGATCTTCATAAGCATTTATACTTTCAAATATCAAACCACTTTTTTCATAAGGTTTACTAGTTTGACTTCTCGTTTTGACACCCATTCTATAAAAATGTTTTTTTTGCTTTAACCCATTTTATTTTTTCTGCCTCACTTTATTCTTCTACTGTATTTACTATATTCTTTGACTTTAATCCTATTAAAAAAATCAATAGCAACAACATTAAAATCTAATAACAATAATTCCATACGTGGAAACAAAGCACCAAGATACTCTCTACCATCAGGGACATACTCTTTTACTTTTATTTCTCTTTTTAATTTATCAGAAACTTTTTCACTAACATTACCCTCTTCTATTGATTTAAGTATCTTATGTATATTATCATCAACATATTTAAAACATTTGTAGTCTTCTTTACAAGCAAATACTAAATTACCTACTCTATATCTTTGTTCTTTACTTTTCTTTTCTTCAGCCATTTTCCTTTATATTTTCTTTATATTTTCTTTCTTAAATCAATTTTATTTATTTTACCGCACTTTACTCTTTACTAGAATTTCCTAAATGTGTTTGATTTTTACGTCATTTTTATATTTAACTCTATTTGGGGGTACTAAAGTGCGGCAGAGTACAGGTTCTCTTAATATATAACCCTAACTGAAACTTGAACCCCAGTTTCCTAACCCTAATCATAAAACTTCTGGGTCATTTGGTGTTTCTGGGGGCCATTCAGTGTTCTGCTAAAAGGGTTTATCCTCCTAAAGATTTCAGGTATCATCTCCTAACTAAAAATCATCATCAGTACCTCAAAGAGGGAGTTTTCAATAATTTTGCTGTAAGACTCAGAAAATCATTAATACCTGAAAAATGTTGATTGTGTAGTGACCATCACCATAATGTTCAGTACACATGCATGACCAAACCTCAAAACCACAAAGTAATTACCATTGCTGTTTGAGGTTTTGTGTTCTCACCCAATATTAGCTTTTTCTTTGCAACACTGTAGCATCCTTAATATTTGTGGTATTCATGGTTTTGTAACTTTCACAGTATAGGTGAGCTCTTGTCACCTCTGTTGTAGGGTTATAAACAGTTATATGCACTTTTGATTACCGGTTACTAATAAAAAGTGTTCCCAGGACACTAGTTTAGTAGGAAATGATGGTAATTATGCAAATGCATCCAGAGGGAAACCTGTAAGTACCACTTATGAGCTCATGGGTTACACATCTTTGGAAGGGGTTTTAAGGGTATTTGTTTTCTTAGGGGAGGGCTTATAGCCAGGGGGACATTTTCTATTGTTTACTGGTAAATGGGCCTATAACTGGGGGATTTATATGTGGGGGTAGGAGGCTTAAAAGAAGTAGTTTATGGTAACCTGTTCCAGACATTCAGGCATTGGGGAATGCACAAAGAGAAAAAAACCCTGCATTTTTTATTGCTCTACTTTTCACCATCTGAATGCCTAGAACAGTTTATCATAAGCTCTATAGCTCATCCTTTCTTATCTGGAACAGTGAAATGTAGACTGATACACACACTGTATATAGACTGTATGGTTTAAGAGATCCCCCCTAAGAAGTACACTTTGAGTAACACACAACCGGAAAGCATTTTCTTAGGTAGCTTCTCTCATCATGTTTTGAGAGTGGAATGCAAGACCTGGTTTGAAATTGGAGATAGAATTTTGGATCAGGCCCCAAATAGGATAGTGAAAATCACATAGGTTAGTCAAAATTTGGCAAGGCAAGAAACATACTGCAGGGCCAACCTGAACTGATTTTTGGGGGGTAGTGCCCCACCCCCAATCCGCCCCTTTGCAGTTGTATTGAAACTGAATGTGGTGCTTTATAGGGTTAAAATACAATATCTGCTCACAGCTTTTGATAATGTATAATTGTTTAGTTCCAATAAAATTCATTATTTTGTGTTATAACACGAGGGTTTCCAACTAAGAAAAATTTTTACCAGAAATGAATAAATGACGAGTGGAAGCAAGTTTTAATTTGGCCCATCATTATTTGACAATAACCAAGTAAACTAAGATGCCCTGTGCCTCAGTAAGCCAATGCTGTGTGCAAAGCTCAAGGAGGGGTGGAGAGCAGGTGCGGTTAGGATAAGCGAGTAAACTATTGATATTACTATTGCTCAAGCTATTATGTTACCCACCCTATTAAGAGCAAATGTTACCATCGGTCAAACATTTCGTGGCAACAGCTCAAAATTCAATTTGGCCCATATTCTCAGGTTAGGTAAACCTTAATGTAAAACAAATCGCTGCAGCATAGTTCGTTTGGCTAAATATCGATTAGTTTTCGAATAATCGTTCTTTTACATATCCAAAGGATTTTTTGGGGAAATGATTTAGCGCGAAGAAATTCAATTTTAAAGTTGGATACAATGCCCTGTTTCAACCGACTTTCCAATTTATGTAAAAAACACACAGAAATACAAGTTTTCCAAAGACAACATTCAATCAAAAGCGGGATTGACGTAAAAATTTAACTAACATGTTTTAAAATCAAAGACATAGATTGTATTTCTGCTGTCCCTTCGTTTGATACAAAATTCAATCCAACTACAAGATAATTTGTCAAGATAACGCAGCTGTCATGTTTGTTTACACTCCAGCGTGAAGACCAGACGCGAGATGTTTTGTTGGGAAGTTTTCCCGACCAATTATCCCTGAATTTAAGATCAGAGATCAGATTTAAAAAGCTTTTTCCGTTTGCCTTTCCTCCAAAATCAGTTTCGAACTAATAAGCAAACCAAAGGCAAACAATGTCTCAAACTGATACATTGAAAACATGTCTTAAATATAATCTGTGACAATTTTGCACAAGAATCAAATCTTTTGATCATGAAATTAAAAGGTCTTTTGACCTTCTTTACCAGCATATGAAGACTTCCACATTTTCATAGTAAAATAACAACTTACATTTTCCTTGCGAACATAGCCAAAACGGAGCTCGGCGTTCTCAGCAAGTTAGATTCGCAGAACATGTATTTTTGCAACTCGTTGGGGTTGCGTGACCAATTTTTATTTCCGGAATTGAGAGCGGAAGTTCATGTGCACGGACTTTTTGTGAGTGGAAAATCATACTGCTAAACATTTCAGACTAACGAGGCTTTTTAGTTACAATATTAATTTTTACATTTTATACCCTCAGCTATATTCTACGGCGATAAACCACACAAACCAACTTCAAGAAGATCTAGCCTCTGAATAAATTTCAAAACTGTCAAAGATGAAAGACAACGAGTTTTTACACGTCTACTAAAAGCCTTACCCCAAATCGAACTAGAAAATGCAAGTGATTAAATGCAGGTGCCATAACGAATTCATGGCCTTGTACAAGAAAGACGTTGCCACATCTCAAGTTCGGAGAAACTAACTCTTGGATTTGACCATCACCTAGTTTTTTTTTTAATATTTCAGCTCGGTAATGGTCTCCGGCTATTAAAAGGGCGTGTGTTAAACGGGATCACCCGGACACGACCGGTCACTGATAATGAATTCCTCGGTAAACTAATTTTAACAAAGACTATGCAAATTTAACCAAAAACTATTGTTAAAGACATCCACGAGGAATGATACATGGTAAAAATAAGTAAACTTTAAAGAAAATTGAAAAAAAGAAATCCAAATTACTTGGCCACATGATCGACTACGCCCCCCCAACCTCCAGTGTTCGAAAAATCGTAACTAACGATTCCCACCACTTTCTAAACGTGTATCAAACGTATATCAAAGCATTGACCCTACAAAGTCTATGCGAAATCAGCTCGGAATGGTTCCCGAATCATTACAATTTGCAGGTGAAACTGGTGTTCATTGACTAGTGCAAGTCCTCCTCTAACTGAAAGTTTTCGTCAGGACGAGACGGATATGACTTCTTTCCATTCCTCTAACTGTTTTTACAAGAAGAGTATTATTGGACATTGTAGACCTACAAAAGGAGAACGGTTTGCTCTCTGTCCAGTGGGCGGTTCAACTCGAAGGATTCCTCGATAAAATAGGGCGTGGTCGATCACGTGATGCAGTTAAAAATAATTTTAAAAATGAAATTGGAAGACTCCTTATGATTGGCCTTAAATTGTTAGTCACGAGGTAGCTTGAAAAAACTTTACATTACACCATCTCCCCTTAAATCTACTTGAAGGTGTACAAGATTCTCTGTTTGTGGGTGTGGCTGTGATTCCTTTTCTCTCCACAGACTTAACTAATTTATAACAACTTGTTCCTTTTCGTATAACACTTTTCCTTTTGTTGGCTTTTCCCTGTCTTCTATCGTAAAAGCTACGAGGATAATTTGACGAGACACTTTACAACCCCCGTCAGTCGTCACTCTTAAAAGAGTGTCTCTAAAAAGTTCTATAGACGACGCACATAGCGTAGAGCCGTCAATTTCAGTTTACCCTAAATAAGACATTCTCGACATCACTGACTATTTCGTAGGTTAATCTCTACATATTCTGGTCAGCCTTACTAGTTTTACAGCCACACCTGGCCACAACGCCTTCAATAATTTCCATATACGGCTGCTTGCACTTGCCAGTCATCGATGCTACATCCAGAACTAAGGCAGCGCAGATGTTCTGCAGTGTTCGTATCGAAAACTTCGCCAGCTTAGACTGACCTACAATCTCACAGATGTTGTATGTTTCGTACATGATGGGGTGCTGAAGAGCTAATGCTTTCGTTACTTCGTTGGACATTTCTTCGATTGCCTTCTCTGTTATCAGCACATTCCTTTCAGGTTCTTACTCCTCACTGGATGGATTGTTCCACACTATACGTTTTCTTTGCTGACAAGCGAGAAAAAAATCCTGCTTTTTGTAGTGGTGTGAGATCGCACTTGTCGAAGATATTAGAGCCATCACTATGCTTTACTCTTCGCATTGCCTTTGAGACGCTCGTTGGATCTGCTTTTTGACCAGTGGGTTCTTCAGCTTGAAAGACTTCAATCAGATAGTTTTTCTGCGCCACCGTGAGATTCTTTCTTTATACTCCTGCTGACTTAAAAGCCCATCCCATCGGTAGCACGGAGCCATCACCCTCCACTGACATAGATGCAACACGCTTTAGTTCAATTGCATGCTCGCGGGCAACATGGTAGACTGAACGTAATGTAAACGCGCAATGATAGCATCCTGCGTTATCGTTCCTTATATAAACAGAGTTGACTTTTGGCATGATTTCCTTAAGCTGACGAAAGACGTCATCAATAATGGCGGGTAACACGCGAGTAACACGCGTCGCAACTCGCTGTGTTTACAAACGTTTCACTAAAGCTGTTACAAAGTGAAGATTTCTACTTTTAGACTGCAAATAAATTCTCTCAGTTCGCTCAAAACAAACAAAAACTGACACCTGTTTTTAAATTAGTACCGACATTCTTAATTAAATTTGTTTGAAAAAAATAAAACAAAGTGATAGCGACGACGTTTTTATCCGATTTCACGAGGTTTCGCCGCAAAATTTTTTTCGTTTCGTCAGGTAATGATTTTTCTATAGCCATCATATTTGTCACTCTTTTGCCTTTAATCGTTTTTTAAACAGGTTTCTGTTTTTCTTTCCTTCTTTTTTTACTCTGATATTTAATAAAAAGAATCGCTAAGATCCACTAGACTCTTGTTCCATGTTCCAATCCCGCTTTTCTCTAGTTGTAGATTTCACTTGAATGAAGCCGTATTTCACAACACCCACGTGATAACATATGTTTTTGACTTGAGGTCGCTTGGTTCCGCTTTGGTTTGCTGCTCTGTTCAAAACTAATGTTTCGGCAAAGAAGACTTACGAAAGGCACTCTAAGACCATTTTTGAGGAAAATGGAGGCAGTGAATACGCACAACAAAAACCTACGTCCAAAGCATGGAACACAAACAATGCCACCCTGCCGCTATCACGTCGTGGGAGATGATTTTGAACGACTAGTTCACGAACCAAACGACACCGGCCTGCAGAAATACAGTTTTCTTCATCATTGATTTGAAGACAAGAAGGTTAGATTCTATACCTTACAACAGACCTCGACTTAATGTATTCTGCTTAACTATTTAGGTGCTTCTGTCAAGTGTAATGTACGTTGCAGTGTCATGTCACGCGTGGGACGAGTTGAAACACCGAAATTTATCCAAATTTAGAAATCGATTTCTTCGCTCTGAATCATTTCCCCCAAAACTCCTTTGGGAGTCTTAAAGAACAACTCCTTGACTTTTAAACACTAGGTTTTCAACGAATTATACGCAGTACCACAAGCTTAAATAAAAGGCTAATTTTAGATAAGTTTTCTTCTCGATAAAAATAGGTCGGGCAAATGAAATTAGATTTTAAAAGTAAATAGCCAAGAATTGATAAAAATGGCTTTAACGGTATTTTTTGACATCGGTCAACAATATGTGGTAGATTTTATTGCTCCAGAGTGTTTTACTTTGTAACGCGAGGCGTCGTAAATCGCCCTAAATTTTACACTGAAAAGGCGGCGTTTTCACAATTCAGTGATTATCGATTTTCTCGAAAACTAATCGATATTTAGTGAAAAGAACTATGCAGTGTTTTATCTTATGTTAAGGTCTACCTAACATGATATTATGGGCCAAATTGATTTTTGAGCTGTTGCCACGAAATTTTGAAAATGTTTGATTTTTGGTAACATTTGCTCTTAAAGGTGACATACTGCAAAAACCAGTTGTTATCCTCAACAACCACTTGCCCCAGTATGGCGCAAAGTAGACTCCCTCCCTCCCATTTATTATTTTATTTATCAACACCTCAGTTGTCCACAACATTGTCAATAAATCTAGACCAGTTTTGTTTTTCAAACAGTTAAGTTTTCTCTTAAACCAAAATGTTGAGAGCCTTGTGCTGCCTTATGTAGTGATCAGATAAATAACATAATTATTTATCAAAAAAATTGTGCAAATCATAGCTGCTTCTTTGCTGTTCATCAGAAATAATCAATCCCAGAGCCCCTTGTTCATCTCTCCCTGAATGCTACATGACTGGAAGCCAAGCAAGGACAGTTAGTATGAGAATATTTTCTTGCAAAACATTTGTAACAAGTCGGCCACAGAGCCTTTCCTTTTACAGCCCAATTCTTACTGTTAAAATAAAAATTAAAAGAAGGCCTCCGAATTATCTAAACATGATTTAAGCATTAATTTAGTGGAAGAAAACGTAGATTGGAAAGAGTACTTGCTCTATCATCTTTACACAATTAAAAAATTGCCTTTTGCATGCAGCCCAAAATGATTCATAAGCAATTCAGTTCTGGCTTTGTGCACTACCATCAGTGGTCTAATGAAATAAAGGCATATAACAAAATATTATCTTGACCTTAGTATAGCAAAGGAGATGTTCTTTCAGCAGAAAATACAATAAGTTAAAAGCACCCTGCAATAAACTTAACGTACAAATCATTTCTGTAATGTAGTCGGAGCTTGATTTCCTTTCCCACTGTAGCACCGACGAATATAGTCCAGAGGAATTAGAAAAACTGATTAGGCTAATTAATAACGCCATACAAGTACAGTATCAATCGCTTCATTTTTACCGAGCAAGGAGCAACAGTAAGAGCTAACTAACCATTACTCCTCCTTTCAGTTTCCCAGGAGATGTGACGGTCGAGACAGGGGCAAAGTTTAGCGCACAACGAAGGCAATACTTTCTTTGCCAAGGCTCGTTATCTTCGTAGAAACTTCTCAAACTTTACCTGCAATTCTCTTCTTCACTGCTATTGCATATAAACAAAACAGGATTGTCGCAATCAACAAAACTCAGACACGGATCTTACGTTTGTAGGTCGAGGGGGCACGAAGTAAAATGTTATGCGCAGTAGATTATATTTTTAATTTGCTTTGCGCATTCAATTGCCTTCAGCCAATGAAAAAATTCGTATTTTCTGCTGCGTCCAGAGCCACTGATCGGTTACAGATTAAGCCGAGTGGCTCTGGGGACGAGAATGGTATCTGAACCCCATCTTGAATTATAGGTTTTTTTATTATTGAAGTTTTGTTTCTTGTTTGTTCGCTTGCCTTAGTTTCTTTTCTCAACTGACACTAGCAGACTGTGACAAGGCCCACACGACAGCACTCACCAAATTGGCAGAATTTCATATTGTACCCACTTTTATACCACTACATGGGAAATTTCTGCAATCCGATTGGCTTAGAGCAGCAGTATTTCAGCTTAATTTGAAATACCTACATGTAAAAATTAGAACCCTTTTGCGGGTAGTAGTATAAACAAATAATAGCATGATTTGTGCGTGATATTTGCCATAAATACCACTCGTGATATTTCAAAATTGTCCCAAATTTCACTCGCCTAACGGCTCGTGAAATTACGTATAACAATTTCGAAATATCACTAGTGGTATTTATGCCAAATAGCACTACAAATCATGCTATTACCTATACTAATTTAGCGACGATTTAAATTTAGTGACACTTAATTTTGGTGTCGCCAAAATTACATGTAATAAGGTAGGTTGCTGTTAAAACAAATTATTCAAAATTCAGATTGTGTGCCTTTTCAAGCGCCAGTTGTTCTACGCAATTTCATGTAAATAACAAAAAGGCTTCGTAATTATTTGAGGATGTATATTTCATGAAGCAAATGCTTTGAATGCACGAAATAAAGCTCTCTATTGAACTGAAAATCTTTAGAAATGTAAGTATTCAAAAGAATAATTACCAAGTAGAAATAAAATCTCGGAAGGATTGAGAATGTTGATGACAAAGCACTTAAATTAACTATAATTGCTGGCTTTCACATGACGTCACCAAAATTCAAACTAAGGAATTCTCAAATCTTTCTGAGTTCATACTTTATATTTATTAAGAACAGCTCAAAACCAATCTTTATACAAATTTTCACTAGAAAGAGGCTCTTCGTTCTGTGATTGAGTACGCATGGATTTCCAATCTTTTACGTGACGAGGCATTTACAATGGGGACGAGAGAGTCGTCAGAACAGTTTCTTGTAAAAGAAAAAGTATTACTTTCATGTCTATGGGCATCAGTTTGGAAACATTAGCATAACGTCAAAACAGTAACGCGGATTTAATTGTCCGATTCGTAGGCAAGGTTCGTCTTGAAATTTCAAGGTGTTACAGTAAATCAATCTTAATGAAAGTGTCAGGCTTAAGCAGTAGAAAACGTTTTCAGTGTTTGCATAGCCTGATATAAACGCGAGAGGGGTTGGGATAATTCGAGACAGTGTTATGAGAATTCTCTTAACCGCTCGAGTGTTCAGGCTGGGCAAACACAGGAAAAAAAGTTTTCTATTGCTTTTATAAAATAACTTTCCCGAGAAAAACGCAAAACTCTCTGTTATGGCCCTGATTAAAAGAGAAATTCTTACCAGTCACAAAATCGTGTACACGAAGTCTGCCTCGCATAATCAGTTCTTGTTTTGCAAAAGGATGCTTTCCAAAATACGGATTTTTCTCACTTAAAATGTCAGCTTAAGCGAAAAAAAAAAATTGACACAGCTTGTTTGTAAAGATTTTCCAAGTTTCAGCCCACGAAGGAATGGGTAAATAAAGTAAACTTGTCGATGTTTGAACTCAAAAACTTTTTCAAATTCGTGCTTGCGTGATTAGCACACGACAGGCAAAACATCTTGACGTCACAACCATGTTCACATACTCTCATGCAAACACTCCTCTCGGCCAATCAGAGCGCGAGAAATATCTTAGTTATTTTATAAATAATTATATGCATCATGAATAAGGTTGTGTGATGAGGTTTAAAAAGAATTCTGTCGAGCCGTTCTAGAGACACTCATAAAAGCGCTAAAAATCAAAATTTAGAGTAAAGTTGCTCCTAGACAGGTGGTGTGAAAACAGGTTAGTTTTCAGGATTACAAGAAAAAAAATACACCAAACTTTCCTTGCATCGAAGTATGAGGTTAAGCTGCCTTTTGACGCTACTTAGGTAGGTTTAATGTGAGTTATTTAAAACCCTTTTATTAAACATTTTATCACGACTATTGAAGATATAAGTTTTTAAATACATTTACGTTTTGTTTGAATTCAAACATACAGAATTTTTTACTTCTTACGGAATTTATTTGCTTAACACCACACTTTCGCGCAAAATTCGGATATAATTCGATTTCAAAGTTTTTTGTTTATTTTGTCATAGTGATGTCGATTTTACTAAAAACTGCATTTTAACAAACTTCTATTCAAAGTCAATCACTGGTGAAGATTTTGTAACGATCTGACAAGGACAAAATTTACTTTTAAAACGATTGAAAAACATCGGTATGGTCCCCGAAAATCTGTATCGAAACACCTTAATGAACGTTACCAAATTGTATAATTAATTATAAGCATAATCTTAATTGCATAAGCATAATTTTTTGTATGTTAAGTAACCTGTTAGTGTTAACACGGGAGCGCCGCTTTTAGCCTTGGCAAAATTTATATCTTATACTCATGATTGTGTCTGGTCCCAAATTTTCTAGATAGACTCTGTTTTGGGTCCTCTGCAGTTGTCCCTCTACAAGATGCTCAAAGATGTGGGTCGATTTCTGTTTATTTACCTCTTGCTTTATCTATCGTTCGCGACCGGCGTTGTGAAGGTGTATTCCTTCTATGTCACCTAACAGATAGAGTTACAGAAGCAGAACATGACAAGCGACCCACAAGATTCCCATCCATATGACAAGTATGTACACATTTAAACCTTGTGTATGTCGACCGCCTATTACAGTCAAACCAGGTCAAGCGTTCCCGTCGCTAACGAACTAATGAATTCATTCACGGAAAAATGATTTCGTTTGTTGATTCAATAATCCATTCACAAAATGAACAATCCAATATTCATATTTAGCGTCGATTCCATAATCGAATGTTGATTCGATTACTGTTTTTTGAAAAACTACACTTTCCACAAGTTGACCTCAGAATTTTGTTTTTTCTCTTTTTTTTCTGAGAGTCGAGTGCTGGCGAGTTCTGAAGTTCAAACCCAAACAAACTGTTACATGTACGCCAGTTTGCTGCCAGTAATCAGTGCAACAGACCTAGGCCTGACCTCTTAGAAAACACAACGGTCAAACTAAGGTCAGTGTATGTGCGGTGATTGGTGGATTTCGATCCTCGGCCTTTGTCAGTTTCTCATAGTTTCTTTGCGTTTGCGGTCTGTCTATTCTAGCTGTTATTTTGATTAAAGGCAATGAAAAACGCAATCGTAAACGGCAGGAAAAAGGAAGCAAATACGATTGAACACAACAGACAAGAATAAAGAACAGGTAGATTTTGTTCATAAACCAAATCAACATTTGATTATTGAATCGAGGTCCAATTTGACTGTTGGATTATTCATTTTATGAATGGATTATTGAATCAACAAACGAAATCATTTTTCCATTAATGAATTCATTAGTTTGTTAGCGACGGGAACGCTTGACCTGGTTTGACTGTAAGCGAGCTTTTTAAAAGGCGTGACGTTGTTGTTACAATTAAGTATAGGTATTTAAGGAAACCGGAGAGTCTCAAAGACAGTCAAATTCATTAATACGTACACTGTTCTTTCTCAAATCATAAATGTGTCAGTTTTTCCAAAGGTATATTATAGTCGTCTAGTGATAGCATGTCAATTTTCACAGTGCTACGGTAGACGCGACTTAATAAGCGACTTTTTGAGTGTTTTCACTGCCATATAGTCCACAGAATAACGGCTTTATGTAAGCGTAGGATGTCGGGATTGACGGTGCGATAATATCCACGGTGTTTCATTTCTTTATACACTTGAACCTCTATGTAGCGGACCCCCAATTAAGCGGACACCCTCTATTAAGCGGACACTAAGCCGGGTCCCGAAATTAACGTCTTATATTTCCCTTTATAAACGAACCCCTATTTAGTGGACACTTCTATTAAGCGGACGCGAACACTAAAATAAATTGTATTTGGCAAATTTCTATTGTTGAAAACCTCTATTAAACGGACACCGGACTGAATTGACATTGGATTACGTCCTTGAAATACCTACTGTAGTCAACTAATAAAGAAAAATCACTACATTTAGCTGTCAATAAACTGAAGAGTAGCCCGTTATCCGAGCGTATGATTGTCATCCACGATCAAATTTCACTTAAAAGTCTTGCACAAAGTCCAGCGCCTCCTTAACAACATGGAACTTTATCACAGTACAAAGTAACCGTTATATGTTAATCGTTAACAAACATTGCGCAATTTTTGCAAACCTCTATTAAACGGACACCCACTATTAAGCGGACACTTGGGCAGGTCCCGTAGGGGTTCGCTTAATAGAGGTTTCACTGTATTCTGTTTCAACATACGTGTATGTTTAATTATGATAAATAACAGGCCAGGACCCGTTTGGTAAGAACACGTCTCATTAATAGCGGAGCTCCCGCGCGCGCGAAGCGGAGCACCATGGGTAAGAAAATTTGGTAAACCATCCATCCCAGAAAATTTGGTTATGACGTAGCGTACGCCCGTCCGTACACACACTTCATGTAAGCCGATGTCAAATGTCACAATAGATCTTGCACAACTTGACTAGCCTCTTAGTTATGTAAGCCATCCGTATGAGTACGATTAGATTGACAGCTGTCAAAATCAGACATCCGCTGACAATTATCACATGACCGTCTCGCGGGCTCAGATAAAAGACCAGTCGTTTTATGCGGCTTAAGTTAAAACACGAGCAATGATCTAACCTACAAAAGGAAACAGGTTTAAAAAGCCTTTAGACATTTTTTGACCCGCAAATTCAAGAAAAGGTTCCGAAGATTATTTAGTTATGATTTTGGCTGTAAACAGAAAGCTCTGAGCGATTTTCTTGCCTCGAGTTCATCTTGAAAAAGAGCGAACACCGGGAAGCCGGCTTAAAACATAAATAAGCTTATGCTTGCCTGACTCATGATTTTCTGAGACACTTTCCTCTCAATACTTCTCTTCGTGAATGAAAATTATTGTCTCTGTACATGTTTCACCGAATTAAACTTATTTTATTGATTGTTAGTAGTCCCTCTCGCAATTTTCATCGCTGCACCGGTTGTTTCCAGTCGAACATAAACATCGCATGTAGGAATGCTAAAAACTCCGCGCGTAAATATCACTCGCTTTTCAAGATTACACAACAAAATTATACACAGTTTAATGAATATCGAAAGGGAAATAAAACCTAAACATAACAATTTCTCTATCATGTTGAAGCGTAAATGGTAACTCTATTAATCGCACTGCAAATTTGGTGCCTGTCAAAAGTGAGAACCCGTCCGGCTGGCCGAAAAGTGATTTTGGGAATTTTTTTATCGTTTTCATTAAAAGCCCATAATTATTACCCCGCATATCACATAGGACCAGATTTTTCTAACAGAAAACGTTTTATAATTCAATGCTATAATTTGTTGTGCAAAGGAAGCGCTTGCTTTGATCGTCGTGGATATTGAATGAGTGCAAATTCTCTTGCAAAATTGTGAAAAACTGCAGAATTATAAGTTTAAATAGGGCAAAAAAGAACAAATTCTGTCCGAGGTCTGTTTACTGTTTACCTGAGAAGTGGTGAGAAAAAGTATGTTTAAAAGGCTGGTTTACACGCCACCAGATTCGTCGCCAAGATTTACTAGTAAACTAAACTTGTCGAACACAAAAAATCCGGCCTGATTTTTATTTTGGCCTTTCTTTTAGACAGAGGAATGCAACGTGTAAATTGGCTGCCACCAAGGACTATCGTGGCGCATGTGTTTCTTAAAATTATATTTCGGGGTTGTCTAATTATCCATAGTCTCTCTAACGGAGCAATGTTGGAGAGACTGGTGAATGCCATATTATGATGATACAGCTAATGCAAATACAATACACGAATAGGTCTATTTGTTTTCCAGGCCTAATCTACTGTGATCGAACATAATTGCTATTTTTCGGTGTACAAATAACTTGATGTAAAATTTGCTTCACTCTTGGACGGTCGAATTCTGATTTTTCTCTAAAATCACTCAGCCTTTGCCTCAAAAGTCAAATGAATGTGCCCTGATCTGTGGATTACAAGTTTATTGTTTGATTTAAATTATGAATTTATTAACGGGAGCTTCGCTTTTAGCCCTGGCTAAATCTATATATTACGGATACCCTCCCATTAGTGCATGCCCGTATCAACGGGATTTGACGTTTCCATTTTTCTTTTCATTCCCAGCCATCCCAATTCCCTATTGGCCATGTTTTGGTTGTTGCTGGGTCTTGTTGAAGAAGGTGATATCGCTGTCAAGGATCCCAGCTTTCGTCTTACGTCTGCCTTTGGTCGTCTGTTTTTGATGGTGTATGTGATCTGTACTGTGATTGTAGCCTTGAACATGCTGATTGCCATGATGAACAACTCATTCGAGAAGATCATGGTGAGAGAGTAGTTGTTTTGTTCAACCCAAACGCTAAAAGATAATTCTGTTTAGACATGTCATAACCCTATGCAAAAATAATGGGCCATTTGCACGATGACGTCTCTTTAGCTTGTATGCGTGTTTTGTTTTCCCAATACAGGTCATTTGATAATACGCAAAAGAAGCTGCTTCTTTCAAATTTCCTCTTATTCATGTGTATGTGTGCGCATAATTTAGGAAGAGACAAAGTTCAGTCCCATTGAGGTTTAAATAACAAAAGCCTTAATTTGCACAAGAAAGCAATACCCTGAAGGATTCTGGTAGAAGTAGTAGAATGGCGCCGTCGTGAAAATGGATTATTAAAGAGCACAGCAGAAACCCGCATATGATTTAATGGAAAGCTTCAATCCCACATACCTGGGAAACCCGGGGTACTCCTGGGAATTCTTGGTGGGGGTGTGCCGCCCAGCTTTCCCAATCCTTGCCCTATTTCAGATCAAAAAATGTCATTTTCACACCCGTTTTGAGACCTGGTGTGTAAGAAATTATGTCATCACTAATTAGATTAGAATGCCAAATAAAAAATTTCTTAAACCACTTACAATTCTTATATTACTTTTTCTTTCTTATGCACTTGTATTTGAAACGACAAATATGTTCATACACTGCCGTAGTTCCCTCACTGAAAAGCTATACCCGATTCCAGACCAAAATGGGCAAAATGTATACCCCTTTTTAGACCGAAATGGCGCAATACCCATACTGTTTGGGGAGGCACATACTTATATGGCTTATGTAAGAGAGGTTTTGCCACATATGGTAAAAACAAAAATGATTTCATAAACAAATGAAATGATTTCTCACGATCGTTCTTCATTTATTTGAAAATCTAGCTAATTATTTTAACTAACACCAATGGAAATAGATAGATTTGTCATCGGAAAATAGTGTGTTTACGTGGAGTTTAGTGAATGCGTTTCAAAATCCAGACCCCAATTCTAGAAACTAGCTGATACTCAGTGCAGAAGCTTCTGTCATTAAAAGAATTACTGAAGCCTTATATATGGAGAGGGAAGGGGAGGTTGGAAAAAACACGATGCTTCACATATCATCATTTCCTTATGTAGGACAATGTAGATGTTGAATGGAAGTTTTCAAGAGCACGGATGTGGCTGGAGTGGATTGACAAAGGAAGCACGATACCAGTGCCTTTAAACCTAATTTACTACACTCTTTTTGGGCTGTTTAAGTTTTTTGGCTGGTGTTTGAGAATCTCTGTTAAGAAATGCCCATGTTTTAACCAGGTTTGATTTTTTAATTCTATATTGATACCCTATATAAGCTGGACTACATAAATTAAATACTCTCGGTTATCGATGTCCACTAACTAGATTAATCCACTATTAAAATTATTGCGCAGGGGAATTACTCACCTGGTAAAGGTCAAAGGAAAATTTCGTTGACCCTACTTTACACTGATTTTTAACCTCAAAATGTAATCAAAACTTCCCGTTCCTATTCCTTGCTTTTGACAACTTCTGGCCATCCATCCAGCGTTTTGGGCCTGTCTGATGGACTGTCTTATAGCATCGGCTTTGACCCAAATTCCCTTCTATCTTGGCGTCTACCCTGATTTAGTCACGGTATCTGCCTTTGTACGTCTTAAGGCTAAAATCTAGCTTGAACGTTTCTTTTAGTCACTACCTGTTGTTACAACCTTTACTGGATAATGACTAGACTGCCAGTTACACTTTCATTACTTAATAATTTGTTTTGTCTTTTGTAGGAAGATGAGGAGGGAAATGGGCAGGGAGATCGAGTAAGTGCACCTATAGATTGCATTGTTGTGTTCAAAACATGATTTGCTCCAGTTTTCGTCTCGACTATGAAGCAGTTTATCTAGTGAAATATCTCGAGCATGTTAAGGCGTGGCTCACTTTTTGTTATGGACCACACCTGTGAGGTTTAAACTGTTTTTCTCTAGAAACCATACTTTTTAATTATAAAATCGCTAAAATTTATTTGGGGAAACTTTATTTTGATGCGTTTACTTGACTAGGATTGAACTGATGATTTCACCTGAATCGTAGCGTTTTATAAATATTCAAAAAAAAATTGGATGTGCCGGAGGAATGTCAATTAAAACTAAAACCGAACCATGTGTAAATGTTTGATTTGTTTACCTTTTAAGTATTTCCGCGGCCGGAATGGAAAAAAAGTTATTTTAATTATTAAGAAAAAATGAAAAATAAAAAATGTCACGTGACCTGTTTTGCTTAATTATTAATGAAATGAAAAAATAGTCAACCATTCCAGCTAGATTCATACGAGGAACAATAATACAACAACTGAACTTAGTATCTTCTGTCGGGCATCACGCCACCGCAAACTTCCCTTTCGTAAACGGTCGCTACCATGTTTAAGACACTTCACAATTTTTTATCTGTTATCGAGAGTGGTCCTCTTAAAAAGAAATACGATCGCAAATCAGAGTCGAACCGGACCCTTTCGTATTCTAATCTTTCTCCCTTAAGTGAATAACAGGTGACAGGGGCGGATCCAGGATTTTTTTTAGGAGGGGGTGCACTCGTCTCTTGCTCTACTTCAACACCAATAAACCACCTAGTTTTTTTTGAGGGGTGCGCACCCCCTGCACCCTCCCCCTAGATCCGCCCCTGGGTGAGGTGGCCCTAGCCATTTCCATAGCTTTTGACGTAAATTTAACTTGGGCTTCATCGTCGCTCTTTCTAAGACTATTGAAAAACGGATCATTTGCCTTATTATACAAGGACAGGTCAGGTGACCCAAACATCTGGTTGCTTACGTAACACGAGATTTAAGGCTACCGATTTTTCCAAGGTTAGCAAATTTTGGAAAGGTCTGGTAAATTTTCACAAAGTTATGGTCATTTCTTGGTTTTTATCTCTTTGAGCAATAATGCAGTATTCTGTGCTTGGTCTAGAGTAGAAATTTTAAGCGCTAGCAAAGGAACGTTCCTGAGATAAATAAACTGCAAAAGCACCTGTTTTACGTAGGTCACAGAAAGCATGGGCGGTCAAGCAGTAAACCCGAGCGAGGTCCTTACAGGCGACTGAGGCCGGCGCAATTCGCGCAAAAATTTCATCTCTGCGCTTCATTAGCGCCTTGAAAAAACTGACGTTGAGAAAACTGGACTGTTTTCAGTCTGTGATTGAAAGCTCTTCACAAATCTCAGAATCGTCTATAGAACCAATTAATAGGTTGCAACTTGCTATTCGGATCCTTTGAATTTTACTGCTGTGTCTTCATGATTGTTATGCTTACCACCGATTATTAGCTTAATTGGTTGGATAAAAGACCTAGGTATTGAGGGCCCGGGGGCTTTATTCCCAACCGGACAAACACTCAGAGTCAAACTATCTGAGGAGCACGTGCAGCATACTCACTGTACTCTGAAATGTACTAAAACAAGTCATTTTTTGCTCTTATATTCGACTTAACTTTACGCAGAAAGATGAGACTGCAGGCAAGAGAGCAAGCAATGTTTGATGCATGCAGTTTTTCTCATCACGATTCCAATACGATTTCTATCATGTTTTCATCGGCAATTCAACCATACGATTATGTTCAGTAACTCCCTTCTTCCGACAAACCATATGTAGCAAGTTGAAAATCGCCCTTCCACTGGCCTAAGCTAAGTGGTAGATATTCAATTATATTTAACAAAATACTCACAAATGGTGGTTATTAGATTTTATTACAGCTAATCGTTAGAAATTGGAAATAGCAGCTATATAATTGATTTAAACTATGAGGAATTAACAGGGTGACCGACTGCTAATTCATATAATTTTTAGGCACACCATATACAGAAACGAAAGGAGACAATGAAAGATTTGATCGTGAAATACCTGAAAAAACACTATTTGGAAGACAACGAAGAAGAAAGAGCTGACAGGTACCATGATGAAACAAAGGACGTCACAGATGAAGCAGCCAGACTAGACAAATCACCAAAAAATATACAAGAAAACATCAGTCTATTGAGAGAACTGGTGGATCGCCAGGCGAAAGAACTAACTAAGCTAAATAAGAGGATTGGCAGCTTGGCTAAGTAATTCAGATATATTGACAACAACTGTAACAACCTTCAAAAGTTGGTTGAGTTTGATCGTCCGGGTGAACGTAGTCCTGAATAGGACTGTTGTTGTTGACAGTGACTGACGTATCGACAAACTGTGCGGTAGTCATCTTCAGAGTCAAAGTGAGTTGTATCACGTCAGTTGATGGTATTATACTCCGGTTAATTGTTGATCTGATTGGTCAATTACGTCGCGATGTTATTGGTCGTCTGTCAGTTAAGCCGTGATGTTATTGGCTATGAAGACTCGTAATCAGTAACTGGTGCGTTTCGATCCGTCTATTGTCACAGTTAAACAGTCGTCTATTGTTAGTCAAATTGTCAGCTCTCCAGTCGTTCTCTCGTAGTTAGTTTTGCTTGATCTCGTCAATAAGTCGTTTGTACGGCGCTGGTAACTGTTGGCTACGATTCAGTGGCGTTTGTTCTAAGTTAGTAAACCAGCTTTCTAAAGTAAGACGTTGATAGTAGTTTGTAGAATACGTTATACACGTCGCAGAGTCCCAGTCAATTTGATGTTTCGTCTGTAAATGCGGTTTTACCAATGTAAGAAGCCTGGCAGTCGAAGTATTTGATCTTGTATGCTATCAACGTCTTACTTGGATCAATATTGTTGGAAAATAATACAGCTTGTTCCGATTTTTTCAAGTCTTTGAATTTGGAGTACTTGGCGTCTACGTCTTGAAAAAAGTGTTGTCTTAAATTTTTATATAAATTGCATCCGAATAGAAAATGAATTTCATTCTCTACTTTATTCGACGAGCAAAGCCGACATATACTAATATTCTAAGGAATTTTAGGAAAATGGTATCTATCAGTTGTGATTACTTGATCCTAATTTTGCTACTGCCTGACGATGTTTTTCGTTTTCAATAAGGTCTAAATATTCTGTTCTACTGACATTAGCCTTAAAAGTGGAATAGAAATTCAATTTTTTGCAAGATTGTAACATGTCCATTTGATCCTTTTTGAAGTAATCTATGATAGCGTGTTTTATTTTCGGCAGCTTCGAGTTAACCAATTTTGGCTCTACAAGAATACTAGTGCCGTAGCTTCATGATTTCGTGAAAAGTTGATTTGAAAGTAAAAGGCATTGCTTTGCAGTACTAGAATCAGGTAGAAAAACAAGACGTAACCAAAATTTTATAACGGTTATATTAATGTGAGATTTAAGTGATAGTCTTCCTGCTTCAGTACAGATATAATATTTGTTGCTCTATTATTTAGACCAATAAAATGTTTTTAAATTTTTTTTTTTTTTTTTCTTTGCAAGTAAAACACACACAAAAAAGGAAAAAAATTACACAGAATAACTAAAGTAATAAAAAGAAAAAAAAAACAAAATAAACAAACAAACAAATAGCGAACGAATTTACACACTTGCATGGCAATACTTACAAATATTTAACTAGATTACAGCGGTGGTAATTCCATATATTACTATACTTAGTATTATCTATAATTAACTTTTACAATTTTTGTTTTTGTTTTTTTTTTGCTTTCTTTGTGGTGAAAGTATTCATGGTAGGTGCAAATATTACTAATTTATGTTTTTGGAGTTAGGAGACAAGACCCAGCGAGGAAAAGAAAGGTTTCCATTTAATTTTATTGCTCGGTGTCTTATTTTCTAATTGGTATATATGTCTCAGATAAAGCAAGAAATTGTTGTGAATTGGGAAGCATTCTTTTGATTTGCATATCCAGATAAAGTTCTTAGCTATAAGACATCAGAAGTTTATATGGAGCTTAAAGGAAGTGCTGTCTGGCGTTAGGCCATTCTCGTCCCCAGAGCCATTCGCCTTAATTTGTATGTGTTAGGCCCAAAGCAGTAGTCATGTCTAAGTAACTGCCTGATTGGAGGATCTGGCACGACTGAAGCCATATCGAGAAATTATTCCAAAAGTTTTTGGTTTTTTGGCATTTCCAAAATAGATGCGTGAAATCCTCTTTCTCGTCATGGCAAAAAGTGCATTTTCCATCCTCTTTTTAAAACTCCTGTTTTTTGCAGATAGCTGTTAGTTGGTAAACGTCTATGTAGAGGTGGGAGGTACAGGACGGTAAATCTCCCTCCTCCCTACTTTTTGGGGCAATTTTTCCCTCCTCCCTAAACTTCGTTTAAAAATTAACGGCGGGCAACACATAACTCCTGCACTTAGTGGTAAAGGAAGTATAATGACCTTCAGAGCTTGTACCACACGAAGAAGGCCTAACCACCAAATGTATGCATAGGAAGATTTTATGGAGGAAAAGCCCATACACCCACCGCCGGGGGAGTACTTCCTTATATAAGCCTTATAGGTATGTGCCGCCTCAAAGTGTAGGGTTTTTGCGCCGTTTCAGTCTTAAACGGGAAAAGATCTTGCCCATTTTGGCCTAGAATCAGTGGCAGATCCAGTCCTTGAGATAAGGGGCAGCCCGGTCATCCAGACCCTTAGATAAGGGAAGGGGAGTCTGTCTCCAAAAAAAAAAGTTTTTGACGTAAAAATCAGCAGGGGGGGCCTCCCCTGGATCCTCATCATCATCATCATCATCATCAATCATCATCATCAATCTTTATCTATACACGAAATCGTATCATTTTACATGGTCTTCCTAGGAATCGTGTTTAAAACTAGACTAAAATACTAAGACTAAAAGACTAAGGAACTATTGACTATAATGTTAAAAATACAAAAACTTACATTATGAATAATAAGAGTTACAATGGGTCATGGTGTATTAGAAAAATCTTTCCCATGAATTGAAGTTTTAAAAACATTTAAACTAGGCAGTTTTCTAATCTCTGAGGGAATCTTGTTCCACAGAACAGATCCTCTGTAGTGTAGGCTCCTTTTTGCAGACTCAGTTTTGGGTCTGGGGACATAATAATTTAACTCAGAATTTCTAAGATTGTGTGAATGTACATTTGAGGTGTTGGTAAAGATCCGCCTCAGATACGATGGGGAAAGATTATTATGGATTTTATACATTGTCACAGCCAACTGTTTAAGTCTTGCATATTCTAGCCTTTCCCAGCCAAGCTCATCCAACAAAACACTTGAGCGAACGTCATAGTTAGAAAAGGTGAGAATTCTAGCAGCCCTATTCTGCAGCTTTTGAAGTTTGTCTGCTAGTCCCTTATTGATATTACCCCAAACGGCACCACAGTAATTAAAATATGGCATTACCAGTGCATTGTACATGTTCACTCTAGTATCAAATGGTATAAAATGACTTACACGCCTTAAGATAGCAATACCAGCGGATATTTTCTTTGAAATGGTATGAATGTGTGGGCGCCAGTTCAAAGATTCATCAATTTGAACTCCAAGGGATTTATGTTTAATTACTCTTTCTAAGGGTGTATTATTGACTTTGACTGTGAAGTCACTATTTATTTGGGATAACTTAAATTGGCTCCCTGTAAGCATGTATTTAGTCTTCTTAACATTTAAAGTTAATTTGTTTGCATGAATGGATTAAATTCATATCATAATTCATTTTATGTTCAAGGACACATGGGTCTTCTGCAGATGTGGTAAGGGTAGTATCATCTGCATACATTCTGGGTTTTGAAAACAAATTACATGAAGGGAGATCATTAATATAAATGGTGAATAAGAGAGGGCCTAAAATAGACCCCTGTGGAATACCACATGTTATATTACAGAAATCAGATTAAACTCCATCAATGAACGTTTGTTGCTTTCGGTCAGATAGATAGGACTGGAACCAGTTAAGGGATTGAGAACTGACCCCATAGAGTTTAAGCTTTCCCAGAAGCATAGCATGATCCATGGTATCAAAAGCTTTTTTCAAGTCCAGGAATATCACACCATTTAAGAGACCGTCGTCAATATTCCATAGCCATTCATTCGTAGCCTCAAGTAAAGCTGTTTCAGTGGAAAACATAGGTCTGAAGCCAGATTGTGATTCAGTTAACAAGTTATTATTATTTAAATATTCATATAATTGATTAAAAACAACTCTTTCAATTAATTTACTTACTACAGGCAGAACTGAGATAGGTCTGTAGTTGTTAGGATCAGTCCTGAGGTCTTCTTTAAATATTGGCGAAACTCTAGCTCGTTTCCAAGCATTTGGAAATATTCCAGTGGTAATTGACTGATTTATTATAAAAGTTAGACTGCGAGTAACTATGGGAGACGCCTCTTTCAGGAGACGTGCTGAGATGTTATCAAGACCACTGGCTTTATTACTCGGTATTTTCTGAATTAAATTGAAGACCTGCTGGGAATTGGGTATGGTTTTCGAGGAAACTACGGGAGTGTATGAACGTATGGACCATAAGGCTATTCTAAAGCTACCCGTGGATTGATAGTTGAGTGAAACTCCTTGGCTGTCTTTAACTCAAATTACTCCCCTATCTAGCTACGAATTACCAGACGTTTTTTACTTTCATACTTTTTGCCTTATATTATGATTCACTTACTTTTGTATATGTATTATCAGATTTTATTTGTTAATTTTTTATCCGAGCATTGTTTATATTTTATGATCGTTTCTTTTAATAGTTGGTGTGATGTCTGTAACAGATTTTACCAACTTAATAAATGTAGATGTAGATGTCTCCAAATGGATCAGAAAGAAAGAGTAATAAGCGAATTCGAAATGGATTTTAAGAAATCTCGTTTGAGCTCTAGTCTAAATTCTACCTATACCAGGTCTGAAAACGGGCATGGATTTAAGAGACGGGTCTGAAACGGGAGTGAGAAATAACATTTTTTTAGTGTGAAATAGGGTCAGGATTTTAACAACCGGGCGGCTCACGCCCACCAAAAATTCCCGGGAATACCACCCACAACCCTCGAGGTACCTACC